GCTGCCCCCCCCGCCTCGCCGCCCGGCTCCCCTCTGGGCCGCCGTGCCGCGGAGCCGGCGCCGGCGGAACGGCTGTGGGGCTGCGGCTCCGAGAGCGCCAGCCCGCGCCGCGCACCGGAGGCCCGCACCCCTGGGGGGCCCGGGAGGAAGAGGGGGAGGAGGGGGAGGAGGGGGAGGGGGAGGAGGAGGAGGAGGAGGAGGAGGAGGAGGAGGAGGAGGAGGAGGAGGAGGAGGAGGAGGAGGAGGAGGGAAAGGAGGAGGAGGAGGAGGAGGAGGAAAGGAGGAGGAGGAGGGGGAGGAGGAGGAGGAGGAGGAGGAGGAGGAGGAGGAGGAGGAGGAGGACCAGCGCTCAAGGTTTAGGCTGGCGCTCAAGGGGCCAGATTTCCCGCACACCCGGGTGGGTCTTGAGGTGAGAAGGAGCGCTTTCTGTAGCCGCTCAGGAAATGAGCTTGGAACACGAGGAGGGAAAGGAGGTCTAGTCTGAGTGTCCCTGCTGCCGCCTGTCTGCTGTTTGTCGACCTCCGCTCTCTTTTTTGTTGCCCAGTGGGCCATCAGCCAGGAGCAGGCGCAGCAGGCCGTGCCCCTAACTAAGGTTCCGGTGGCCAGAGCCTCGAGTAGGCGGTGAGGAGTCAGGACTCGGTTCGCAGCGACGTGCCAGGAGGAGGAAAAGGAGGAGGACGAGGAGGAGGGGAGGAGGAGGAGGAGGAGGAGGATGAGGAGGAGGACCAGTGCAAACCCAAGACTCATCAACGCTGTTGGAATAAATCCTCCCTCCGAACTGCTCCCTCTTTTTCGGCCCCATACAAGGGTTCATTTCCACTGAAGAAAAGACTCCGTTTGGAGACAACCGTTTGAGTATCTTGAAACGTGCCGAAATATTTGACTGTTACGAATCAGCTTGAGTAGCTTCAACGCCACGAACCAGCTTGACTGTTACGTTTTGACGATCCCGAATCGTGCCAGAGCACCAATTTTGGGATGTCGACAACGTGAAAAAAACGTAACTGTTGCGCCCTGACAATCCTGAGTCGGTCCAAAACATCAATTCTACGCAAGCCATGGGAATCCGCTAATTGCTGTAATTTCTCATTGTGGTGGCAATGGGTTTGTGGTGGGAGGGGGGGGAGCACGATATCACGATATCACGATCTCACAATATCCGAAACATGGGCGGGGGGGGGGGGGGGAACACGACATCACGATATCACAATATCACGATCTGCGAATCAGGGGCGGGGGGACACGGTATCACGATATCACGATGTTACGATATCCAAATCGGAGGCGGGGGGAACACGATATCACGATATCACGATATCTCCATATCGTGATATCGTGATATCCTGTGCCCGTGCTATCCGACGTTCTAAACCATCAAAGCATCTGATAATATGCGAGCCAAACCCAATTCCCACACACGAACGCATCGTGTGGGAATTGGCTTCTCCACCACCAGATCGTGATATCGTGATCTCGTGTTCTCATGCTTTGGGCCTGCGTCCTTTGGGCCCCCCTCATCGCGTCCTCGCGGCCCCAGCCTGAACATTGTAAGATTGCCATGCAGAGCGGTGGCGCCGCGTGTCAAACTTATGTTGTTCCTTCCATGGCCGCGAGGAAACCAGAAGGGGAAGGTCGGGCGATCCCGGCCGCTCCGAGGGTGGGCCGAGGCCGACCGAGCAGGAGGAAGAGGATGAGGACGAGGGCGACGACGAGAGGGGGAACTTGACACGGGCAACCAGTCTCAAAACAAAACCCCGGAGGGAACAACATAATATTGACATGCGCAGCGGCTGCTGCGCATGTCAATCTTATGGTTCCCCCCAGGACCGCGATCATGCGGAGAGGGGAAGGGCGAGCGATCCCGGTCGGCCTGGGCTTGGGCAGAGGCCGATCGAGGAGGAGAGAAGAGGACGAGCACGAGGACGACCACGAAAACGAGGAGGCGACAATTGCGGCCAACCGCGAAACAAAACAAGAGGGAACACTAGGCTGACATGCGCAGCGGCGGCTTCCCATGTGAGTATGATGCACTTCCCTCTTGGGCTCATTGCGACGGTTAGGCCCCTCACAACGTCGTCCACGTCCTTCTCCTCGGTCCTCCTCCTCTTCCTCGTCTCGTCTTCGTCGGCCTCGTCCCGCAGGCATGCCACTCCTAGTTCAACCAGTCCGTCGCCATTTAGGCTCAAGCGGTTGCGACAGACACTGTGGTCGAGCACGCCTTGCAACTGGCCCATGGCACCGAAGTTGTCGCAGAAAACTCGGGCTATGCGAAAAACTCGGGCAAAAGCTGCACGCGCGCAGCAACAGTGGTATAGTTGTTATCTGGCTGTGCCGAAGCTCAGCAGAGGGGAGTACAACGCGAGGTACGTCCAGTGTCAATGCGATCCGAATTCGCTGCTGAAGGCTCGGCGCGTGCCATGGTGCAAGGAAGAGGGCCCGAATGACAAATGCATGAAGTGTTCCTGTTGGCTCTACAGCGTCTTGCTTCGCAAGGGCACTGCTGACACGAAGTGTAAGGAGGAGATTTTCAACAAGGGCTCGTACACCAGATCTCTCACGAGGGGCTGTCGCGCTTGGTTTGATCTCGGCGCCTACACACGGCTGTTCAGCATCGCCGCGCTGATGAAGGGAGCCCGAGAGGTCATAACCTGCGAACCCTCTGTGCCCTGTTATGAGTTGGCGAAGCGGAACGCATGAGGCGTTGGGATTACATGTCTGAAGCTAGCCGTGGCTGCGGACCCCTAATGCGCGCGGGGCCATGTTGATCCTCACGTGTGTAAGAACCCTGCGAACGCGTGGCGACATTCAGTCGTCCCGACGCGGGGGCGTACCGTTATCAAGGTCCCCAGCATTAGCATCGACGATCAGACGCAGTAAAACTGGATATCGAGGGCGCTGAGATTAGCATCTTGGTTTCTTACACATGGCCGAAGAGCGTGAAGGTGTATGGTTCGCATATTCCTTTTCTGTGTTCGAGCAGGTGAAGATTTTCGAAGACGCCATCAAATCCGTCCCGCTTCGCGCATCCGCCCTCGCCCGACCATTCGACTGGCGAGTCGTCTTGACGGTGGGCGCGGGGCGCCGCAACCCTGCCTCGAAGTAGAAGCAGGGATGCAAAGCGCGAGGTTTCCTGAGTCACCTGGCGCCCGAGATGCGCGGCAGGATTTCTGAAGACTCAGGGTTTTGTGTGTGAGTTTCCTCCTTCAGCATTGAAGCGGCCAGAGGGCCGGCGGTTCAACTACCGCGACATCATCGCGCATTGCTATCGCTAGGATCGAAGGAGACCCGTGCCCAGCGTCAAAATGACGGCGGCCGACGACGAGGGCCACGCAGCATGAACATCCAGCATGCCCTTTCATGGTTGAGAACGGTGCGCCTCCTGAAGTAGAGCTCCAGCGAGAACCCCGTTTTGACAAAGGAGCCGCCCTCAACCTCATCCTCTGTGCCCTCTCCAGTTCCCCTCTGGCCCCCAGAGGCCTCGGGCCCCGCTTCGCACGGCGCCTACCCCAAGTCCCTCGAGAGAGCCTCGAAGGGAGCTCGGGCGAGAGCGTCGTTTTGAAAAAGGAGCCGCCCTCGACTTCATCCTCTGTGCCCTCCCTGGTGCCCCCCCCGGCCCCCAGAGGCATCGGGCCCCGCGTTGTGCGGCGCCTCCCTCAGGTCCATCGAGAGAGCCTCGAAGGGAGCTCAAGCGAAAACCCCTCTTTGAAAAAGAAGCCGCCCTCAACCTCATCCTCTGAGCCGTCGTCGCCGTCGTCATCGTCATCTCCGGCGCCCCGTGGGGCCTCCGTCGTCGTCGTCGTCGTCGTCGTCGTCGTCGTCGTCGGCCTCTTCCTCATCCTCTGCCTCCGCCTCTTCCCGCTCCTCCTCATGCTCCCTCTCCTGCTGCTGCCGCTGCTGGCACGCTGCTGCTGCTCCTCCTCTTTCTCCTTTCCCCCATCTTCTGGGTGGGGGAGGGAATGGTCAAGAGGAGGAGGAGGAGGAAGAAGAGGAGGAGGAGGAGGAGGGGGAGGAGGCGGAGGAGAACGAGGAGGAGCCGGTGGAGCAGGAGGACGAGGAGAAAGAGGAGGAGGAGGAGGAGGAGGAGGAGGAGGAGGAGGAGGAGGAAGAGGAGGAGGAAGAGAGGGCGGGAATGGGGGGAGGAGGAGGGAGGAGGAGGAGGAGGAGGAGGAGGAGGAGAGGAGGAGGAGGAGGAGGTCGAGGAGGGAGGAGGAGGAGGAGGAGGAGGAGGAGGAGGAAGCGGAGGGGGGAGGAGGAGGAAAAGGAAAAGGAGGGAGGAGGAGGAGGAGGAGGAGGAGGAGGAGGAGGAGAGGATAAGGAGGAGGAGCACCCTCAAGGAGAAACTTTTGGGGACGTTTGGGGCCGTCGTGAAGGATTCTTGCGCCGTTTCGGGGCCATCGTGAGCGTCTGGGGCTCATTTTTGGGCGTCTGCGGCCCCTCTTGGCCCGCCTCGGAAACCTCTTGAGGCCCTCCAGGCCCGTCGTGAGGCCCCCCCCGCGCCTCCGATTCGGAAATCGTGATGTCGTGTCCCTCCCGTCCCTGATTCGGATATCGTGATATCGTGATATCGTGTTTCCCCCCGCCCTCGTTCCGGAGATCCTGATATGGTGATATCGTGATATCGTGTTCCCCCCGCCCTTGTTTCGGATATCGTGATATCGTCATATCGTGCGGCGGCAATCTCCGCCAACTGTTCGCCACCACGCTGCAAATTCTTAAGACGAACATGCGCGGCGCTAAGGTGAGAGCCACTGCTTGAAAAGGAATCGCCTTCCATCCGTGATACTCTCGCAAATTGTTCAAACGAGTGTGCGCGGCGCAAAGGCGAGAGCCACATTTTGAAACGGAGCCGCCCTCCATCTGTGAAGCTCTTGCATGTTTCAATCGACTGGGCGCGGCGCCAAGGCGAGAGCCACATTTTGAAATGGAGTAGCCCGTCATCCGTGAAGCGCGGGCATTTTTCAAACGAACGTACGCGGTGCTAAGGCGAGAGCCACAAGGACAACCCTCAATCCGTGAAGACCTGTAAACTTTTGGTAACGAATTTGCACGGCGCTAAAGCGAGAGCCACATAGTGAAAACCACCCGCCCTCAATGTGTGAAACTGTTGTTTGTATTTGCTCCAGGATCATACATGGTAAGGAATTCTCAGGCGAAGCGCCTGGACCACCCGTCCGACTGGCCTCGGGGTGCGACAGGGACGAATTGCTTATAAAGAAATGGAATGGAGGAGCAGGAGGAGGAGGAGGAGGAGTAGGAAAAGGAAGAGGAGGGGGGGGGCTACGAACGACGTTCTGTTCAGCCATCAGGAATCAGGAGGAGGAGGAGGAGGAGGAGTCGGAGGAGGAGGAGGCGGAGGAGGAGGAGGAGAAGGAGGAGGGGGAGGAGGAGGAAGGAGGAGGGGGAGGGGAGGGAGAGGGATGGGAGAGGGGGAGGAGGAGGAATCAGGAGAGGAGGAGGGGAGGAGGCGGAGGAGGAGGAGGAGGAGGAGGAGGAAGAGGAGGATGAGGAGGGGGAGGAGAAGGAGGAGGGGGAGGGGGAGGGGGAGGGGGAGGGAGAGGGGGAGAGGAGGAGGAGGAGGAGGAGGAGGCGGAGGAGGAGGAGGAGGGAGGAGGACGAGGAGAAGAGTGGAGGAGGAGGAGGAGGAGGAGGAGGAGGAGGGAGAAGGAGGAGGGGGAGGGGAGGAGGAGGAGGAGGAGGAGAGGAGGAGGAGGAGGAGGAGGAGGGGGAGGGAGAGGGAGAGGGGGAGGGGAAGAAGAGATGGGGAGAGGGTGGGAGGAGGACCTCGCTCCCGCCTTTCCCTCTCCCTTCCTCCCTCCTCGACCCGGGGAGGGGCCTCTTTCCTCTCCCTTCCCTGTCCTGCTCTAGCTCCATCCCTGCTCCTCCTCCTCCTCCTCCTCCTCCTCTCCTTCCTGTCTTGCTCTAGCTCCATCACTCCTCCCTCCTCCTCCTCCCTCCCTCCTCTCCTCCTCTCTCCTCCTCCCCCCTCCTCCTCCTCCTCCTCCTCCTCCTCCTCCTCCTCCTCCTCCTCCCTTCCCTCCTCCTCCTCTCCGTCGTGTCGCCTTCCCTCATCCGTGCCCCTGATGGTGGCGCCCCCCCTCCCTGGAGGCGCAGGGTGAGACCACGGTGGAGGTGTGCGCCCTGCGCGCGGTGGCGCGGCTGCACGGGGGGCCTCAGAGCACGCTGCGGTGGGAGGGGGCCTGGTCGAGGCTGTCGGGCGTGTTTCGGCCCTCTTCGGGCCGCCAAGAGCGTTCCCAAGGCCCAGAGGAGGGGGAGAAGTCTCTGTCGCCGTCGTCCTGGTCCTGGCCCTTGTCCAGGACGAGCGGAGCGGAAGCGGGAGTCCTGCTCCTCCTCCTCGTCGTCGTCGTCCTACTCCTTCTTCTCCCTCTCCATCGTCCTCGTCCTCGTCCTCGTCCTCGTCCATGCTGCTGATTCCTCCTCTCTCCTCTTTCCCGCTCCTCCTGCGGCTCTCCCTGAGGCGTTCGGCGGTGGGCGAGGCGCTCAACCGGCCGCCGAAAATGCCGTCCCCGATCGATGATCGGACCTCGATCGATCCTCGATCCTCCTCGATCGTCCTGTATCCTCCTAGCCTGGACCCTCCTCTCTCCTTCTCCCTGGGTTTTCCTCCCTCCTCCCTCCTCCCTCCTCCGCAGCCCCTCGGCGCAAGCACCCTCGGCCCCTCAAGAGCACGGCCGCGACCCGGCGCTGCCGCGCCGCGCCGCCCAGAGACCAATGTCGGAGCAGGCGACAGGGGCGGCCCAAACCGCGTCGTCGTCGTCGCCGCCGTCGTCGTCGCCGTCGTCGCCGCCGCTGTGGTGGTCGTCGTTACCGCTAGTGGAGGCGGGGCCAGGAGGAGGACGAGGAGGAGGAGGACGAGGAGGAGGAGGAGGAGGAAGATAGGAGGAGGAAGAAAAGAGGAGGAGGAGGAGGAGGAGGAGACCCACACCAGCTGAAGGTGCCACCACATTCAACATGCATCAAATAAACAAATCAAATACCGTCATCCGAGAGTTCGGCCTCCTCGCGCTGTCTCCTGTCAAGGACCTGCTGCCCAAGCCCTTCGGCCTGAGCGCGGGAGGAGAACCCGAATAGCGCAAGGCCTCGGATGAGGTCGACCCCGATCCGCTCGACGGCGGGGCCGGGTCCAAGCTCGGGCACCCCATCCTAGGCCTAACTTCGAGGACAGGAAGGTGCGAGAGTCGTCGGATAGCGAGCACGCTGCTCCGACTCGGCACTCCTTGCGGGACGGATGTTTGCCTTGCAAGATCCAAGCCAATTGCCTCTCGCGGCCTGGGGAACGGGACCCCAGGCAGTCCGACACGAGAGCGCTCCGACCCCACGAACTCCCAGGGTGGCCGATGGACCCGCAAGTGGTGCAAAACTACGGGTCCCAAAGGGGCCCCAGCAGCCGAGGTCACTGGAGCTTCGATGCAGGAATGGCCTCTGGCTTTCCAAGGCCTGAGGAGGGCCCAAGCCTCTTCCCCCGGAGGCGGCGGGAGGACGGGGGAGGATAACACCTCGCCAGCGTCCTGCGCCTCGCCGCTAGCCGTAGCGCTCCCTCCGACGACGACGGACGACGCTCCGACATCCGCCCCACCCACACCACCGCCATCATCCCCAAGGACGCCTGGCGGCAATTCAAATGTGCCGAGGTCGACATGTCGGAGCCAATCGAGCGGGACATGGTCATACACCCCAGCATCCGCTATCATGGCCTCCTGACGGGCCGAGTACCTAGCCACCTGCTTGGCAATCTCATGACAGCCGATGATGACGAGACGATCGGCGGGGTCACTGCGAAACAGCTCGGCCCCGCGACGCGCATACTCACCCGCTGCTTTGTTGCCGAGCCACTGCGCTCGGGTCAGGCGGCCTTCGATAACGTCCGTCTCTGTACAATGGGACGGGACTTTCCAGACAGAGCAATCGCCAAGCTTGTCGTGCACCTGGGCCCACCAGTGGGCCCGCGCATAATCGGGGCCTGCAGCGGACCTGGGGTCCCGAGCACAATCCACGGTGCCCGCGCAATCAATATTGAGGCGGACTTCGGGGAAGAGGGTGGCATTGAGACAGAGCTGGAGGACAGCATAATCTTCGCCGTCCCGGGCGGCTTGGAAGGGTGCCTCAGCTAAGGGCACCACCCCCCAAATACACGACAAGACGACCCCCTCCCCGTCCGTGACGACCACCGCCCATCCCGCCACTCCCAGGGACCGAAGGCGGCCCTCAAAAGCCGATCCGTCCGTATGTACGTGCATTCCAGTCCCCAACATAAGCCCGTCGGCAGGCCAGTTGAGACGATGCATGTAGCAGGAGGACGGGTCGGGCGCTTTGCGCTTGAACCAGGCCGAGGGGTCGGGGAAAACCGCCCTCGAAAACAAATCCTGGGCTCGGCCCGAAAGCGCAGACACAAACCTGGCCGCCTCCCCGACCTGGCTCGAGAGTTCCTCACGTCTCCAAGCCGAGTGGGCAGGGCAAACAAAATGGCGGTAGGACGAGGAGGAGGATGAGGAGGAAGAAAAGAGGAGAAGGAGGAGGAGGAGGAGGAGGAGGAGGAGGAAGATAGGAGGAGGAGGAGGAGGAGGAGGAGGAGGAGGAGGAGGAGGAGGAGGAAGGAGGAGGAGGAGATAGGAGGAGGAGGAGGAGGAGGAGGAGGAGGAGGAGGAGGAGGAGGAGGAGGAGGAGGAGGAGGAGGAGGAGGAGGAGGAGGAGGAGGAGGAAGATAGGAGGAGGAGGAGGAGGAGGAGGAGGAGGATGAGGAGGAGGAGGAGGAGGAGGAGGAGGAGGGAGGAGGAGGGAGGAGAGGAGGAGGAGGAGGCAGGAGGAGCAGGAGTAGGAGGAGGAGGGGGGAGGAGGAGGAGGAGGAGGGAAAGTTGGAGGAGGAGGAGGAGGAGGAGGAGGAGGAGGAGGAGGAGGAGGGGAAGGGAGAGGAGGAGGAGGGGGGTAGCCCAAATTCGCAGGGGATTGGGGCGGCCCGAATCGCAGCGACAGAGATTCGATTGCCTGGTGTCGAACCCCGCCGCCACGCACATTCCCCAGCACACTGGCGCCTCCGGCGCCGGGAGGCGCCGGGAAAACCAGCTGCGTGAGCTGATTCGCTGACTCCCACGTTGCGATCCCCACCTTCGTCCGACTCGAGAGGGTCGAGGCTTGTTGACGCCGTCGACCCTTTCCGGGTCTCCTGGAGGCCTTCCGAGGCCTTGGGGGCTTCCAGAGACCTCTGGAGGCCTCCAGGGGCCTCTAAGGGTGCCCTGGAGCCCCCTCGAGACTTCGAACACCTCGGAAGGCGGACGTCGTTGACCGTCGTCGTCGTCGTCGTCGTCGTCGTCGTCGTCGTCGTCGTCGTCGTCGCCGTCGCCGTCGCCGTCGCCGTTGCCGTCGCCGTCGCCGTCGCCGTCGCCGTCGCCGTCGCCGACGCCGTCGCCGTCGCCGTCGCCGTCGCCGTCGCCGTCGCCGTCGCCGTCGCCGTCGTCGTCGCCGTCACCGTCGCCGTCACCGTCACAGTCGCCGTCGCCGTCGCCGTCGTCGTCGTCGTCGTCGTTTTCGTCGTATCGTCCCCTCCCCATTTGATTCCCCTTCTGCTGGTTTTCTCACGCCTCCTCCTGCACCTCCTTCTCTCCTTTCCCCCCTCTCCTTTTCCCCCCTCCTCTCCCTCTCCTCGTCCGATCCTCCTCATGCTCTCTCCTTCCCATCCCGCCCTTGTCCTTCCCTTCCCCCTTCCGTCCTCTCTTCCCCCTCCTCCTCGTCCTCCTCTTCCCCCTCCTCCTGCTGCTCTTAGGTGAAGCTGTTCGGCAGGTGGGCGTACGAGGACGTGAACGTGTCTGACCTCAGCCTGGTCGACTATATCGCAGTGAAGGCTGGGGCGCACACCTACCTGCCGCACACGCAGGGGCGCTACCAGGCCTCTGCCTCATATTCCTCCTTGTCCTTCTATTCCCTTTTGTCTTCGCCGTCGCAGTCGTAATCGTCATAATGGTCGTTTTCGTGGTCGTCGTCGTCTTCCTCTTCTTCGCCCTCCTTTTCCCATTTCCCTCCCACTTCCCCTCCTCCTCCGTCCTCCTTCATCCTGCTTCGAAGCCTCCTCCTTCCTCCTCCTCCTCGTCCTCCTCCTCCCTCCTCCTCCTCCTTCTCCTCCTCCTCCTCCTCCTCCTCCACCTCTTTCTCTTTCTCTGTCATAATGTTCCTGCTCCTGCTCCTCCTGCTGCTGCGCCTCCTCGCGCTCCTTCCTCCCCCATCCAGGCGAAGCGCTTTCGCAAGGCCCTGTGCCCCATCGTCGAGCGCCTCTGCTGCTCCATGATGATGCACGGCCGCAACAACGGCCTCCTTGTCGTCGTCGTCCTCCTCCTGTTTCTCCTTATCTTGATTCTCCACGTGCTCCTCCAGGGAGGAGAGGATAAGGATGAGGAGTAGGGATGATGAGGATGTTTTTTGGAACCGCTTGACCAAGCCCGAGGGGCCGCGCTACACCCAACGATGCGGGCGCATCCCAGACCATGCACCGACGCCCCTGACACGACATGCACCCGCGCCTGCATAGGTTCCACACGTCCACTTGACGGACATCCTCTGTCCATCGCCACGCGTGTCGGCGGTACCGTCGTCGGACCTGGCCGACGCTGGCCCCTCCTCCCCGGCCGTCCTGTCCACCCCTTCGACCATCAGCAGTGGATCAGGAGGGGAAACACACATAGACACAATTAATCGTCGATCCCCAGGAAAATATAGGAAACTATGGGAATTGGGGGGAAGACAAAACCCATAAAATATGCGAAAATATGGGGAATCCTGTTAGTTGTGTGTATTTATTCGTGTGTCCCAGGGCCCCTTCAGTGGAGGGATCCTCTGCATGGCCACCCCCAGGAGGCCCATCCCCGACCAGCTTGTAGCGACCAGCTTGTAGTTTGGCATGGGGCCCCGGGTGCAGCTCCAGTGCGCGCTCGAGGCCCTGCTTCGGAGGAGGAGTCGAGGCCCTGCTTCGGAGGAGGAGGAGCGGGGAGGAGGAGAGGAGGAAGAGGGGGAGTGGAGGGGAGGAAGTGGGTGAGTAGGGGGGAGGGCGAGGACGGGAAGAGGGGGAGGAGGGGGATGCCTGATGGGGGTGCACCAGCAGGAAGATCAGCGCAAGAGGAGCAAGGGAGGAGGTCCAGCAGCTCAGGATGAGCAATGGGGGAGCCTAGGAGACGCAGAGGAGGAGGAGGAGGAGGAGGAGCAGGAGGAGGAGAAGGAGGAGGAGGAGGAGGAGGAGAGGAGGAGGGAGGAGGAGGAGGAGGAGGGCTCGTTGTCGTTGTCCGCCTCCGCCCTTCCGTTAGCGTTCCCTTCTGCTTCTGCGCACTTGTTCGTCATGCCCCTCGTGCTCGCACTGCTCCTGCGCTTCCTGCCCATCCTGCGCTTCCTGCTTCTCCTCCTGCCCGTCCTCCTACTGCTGCTGCTTCTCCTCACCTATTCCTCCCGACTATCCTCCTCATTATCCTATTCCCCCCAAGCCTGCTTCTCATTCTCCTCATCCTCCTCCTCCGATTTCCCCTTCCCCTAGGGAAGAAGTTGATGGCAGTCCGCATCGTGAAGCACGCGTTCGAAATCATCCACCTCTTGACGGACAAGAACCCCATCCAGGTCCCGCTCCTGCTCTGCATCCTCCCCGTCACCACCTTCATGCTGCCCCTCCCCCCGCCTCCCTACTCCTGGTCAGCATTTCCTCTCGTTGTGATCGCCCCCGTCATCGTCGTCATCCGCCTCCACACCCCGCGGGGTATTCCTCGTTCGTCCTCATTCACTTCGTCGTCCTCATCCTCCCCCCCTCCCCCGCCGCCGTAGTACTAATTATATGCCCCTCCTCCTCCTCCTCCACTTCCTGTCTTGACTGATCCGTTTCCGCTTCGGCAATACGTTCACTTCAGTATTTTCAACCGCCCCTCATCCCACCCCAGTCCTGTTTGCACTCATAGGTGCCCGTTGCGTCGTCCTTCTCATTGTCGTTATCGCTGGTCCTATCCTCCCTTGCCTCCTTATCCCCCATCATCCCTCCTCCTCATCAGCATCATTCGTTGGTGATCCCGCTCCTCTTCCGCCTGCTCCTCCTCGCCCTCCCCTTACTCCTCATCGTCGTCCTCCTGGCGTCCCCAATCTGCTCATCACCTGTCCTCCTTCTCCGCCGTCTGCCCATCGTGCTTTCTCCTCGTGCTCCCACTGGTCACTCCTCTCACCCACCTCGTGGACAAAGAGCCCCACCATCCAGGTCTACGTCGACGCCGTGAAGAACGGCGGCCCCCGCGAGGACCCAACGCGGGATGGAGACGCGATGGTGGTGGCGGCGGCGGTGGTGGTGGCGAGAAAGATCACGACAGCAAGGACGATAGCGATGATGATGACAACAGCGCTCATGCCGATGATGGTTATGCCGATATCGATGATGACTCCTATGGTTGTGGTGGTGATGTCTATGGTGGCAGCGCAGGTAGTGACAAACATAATGATGCGTTGACATGGCGATGGGGAAGACTAGGACTACGATGGTGGCGGCTTCGATGGTGAGGATATCTATGATGAGTGTGATGACGATGATTACGATGGCGATGACGATGACTTTGACGATGGCGATGGCGATGATAACAAAGACGACGATGGCGATGCTGATGCGGATGATCATGATGATGGTGACGATGATGGCATTTATGTCATTGATGATGGTGATGCTTATGATGATGGTGGAACAATGATGATGATGTTGGTGATGATGGCGATGACGATGATACTTATGACACTGATGATACTGCTGATGATTATGGTGATGGTGCTGGTGATGGTGATGATGGCAGTTATGGTGATGATGATGCTGATGATGATGATAATGACGATGATGACCGTGATGATGATCATGGTGCTGATGGGGATGATGTTAATTATGATGAGTATGACGATGACCACGACGATGTTGAGTACAGTCGACCGTCTTGTTAGCACACCTGCTTCCGAAAGCTGTTCCAGCGTTTCTTAACCACCTTGCCGGAAGTCTGGCCCGGTCTCTTGGGCACGTTCGCACCCCCGGTGTTAGCAACAATAATCCGACCAGGTATATATTCCAACACGTCCGGGATGTTCGCCTAGACTTGCTGGGAATATGCTGATGGTGATGGTGGTGGTGATGATGATGGTGATGATGATGACGACGATGATGATGATGAGTATGAGGCTGCCGATGATGGTGGTGATGCTGGTAATGATGATGTAGATGCTGACTCTGGTGACACTAGCGATGACTGATTTCGACGACGCTGATGATGACGGTGGATGTGATGATGATAATGAGGTTGGTCTTGCTGATGATGACCATGATTCTGAGGACGATATTAGTGATGATGATGGTGGTGATGATTTTGACCATTACGACGCTGATGCAGATGATGATGTTGATCGGGATGATTGTGATCAGGATGATGATAGTGACGATGCTGGTGGTGGTGACCACGACGATGATGATGATGAACATGATGATGATGATGCTTATGATGATTATGATGATTATGATGATGATGGGCTGGGGTCTGATTACGGTAGTCATGGCGATGCTGATGATGGCGACGATGCTGATGACGAGGCTGTGAACGACGCTGCCAACGAGCACGGTCATGTCCATAATGATATACCTGGATGCCATAATGAGGCTGACGAGTGTGATTGTGTGGTGGTGGGGGTGGTAATGATAGGGTTGATGAGGATGATGCTGTTGAGGAACAGCAGGACCATGCTGAAAGGACAGAGGATCGTGTAAGAGGAACAGGAGAGGTAGGGGGTGGACGATGCGGTAGAGGAGGAGGCAGAGGACAAGAATGCGGACGCAGCAGAGGATGAGGAGGCATAAGACATGAGGAGGTGGAGGCGGACAATGTGAGGGAGAACGAGGTGGAGGGATCACCATGATGAGGATGGGGATGATGGTGATTCTGGTGATGATGATGATGGATATGCTGATGCTGCTGATGATGAGGATGACGACGATAGTGATGATGATGATGCTGATGATGATGATGATGATGATGATGCTGATGCGGCTGATGATGCTGGTGATGATGATGATGATGCCGATGCTGATGATGCTGATGATGCTGCTGATGATGATGATGATGCTGATGATGATGATCATGATGATGATGATGATGATGATGATGATGATGATGATGATGATGATGATGATGATGATGATGATGATGATGCTGTGTACGATGATGTTGATGATGCCGATGATGATAATGATGCTGATGCTGATGATGCTGATACTGATCATGATTGTGATGACCATGCTGGTGGTGAGGGGGAGAAGGCAGAGGAGAACTAGGAGGAGGCAGAGCAGAAGGAGGATGAAAATAAGGATGTTGAGGAGGAGCGCACCACCTTTCAGGACTCTACGCGTGTCGGCTCCGCGGGCGTTGTGAGGCGCCAGGCGGTCGACGTCTCGCCGCTGCGCCGTGTGAACCAGGCCATCCTCCCACGGAATGAGGAAGCCGGGGAGGAGGGGAGAACCGGGAGGAGGGAGGAGGGAGGAGGAGGAGAAGGATCGGGGGCGGAAACGAGGGAGGTGATGACTAGGGGGGGGTGGATATCATGGCGGGGGCCATGATATTTCCCCAGATCTCGTGGCGCCTCTTCTTACTTCATTACGTCCCTGGCCCCCCCGCTGGGCCGCGCACATGCCGCCACTCATGATTTGCACCCCCCCTCTTGAACACCCCCCTCTTGGCCGCTCCCGAAAGGAGGAGAAGGTGGAGAGGGAGGACGGATGCGAAGGAGACCGAGGAAGAGGACGCCGTGGGAGTGGGGGGAGGAAAACGATGAGAAGGAGGGAGGGAAGGAGGGAGAACAGACACACACTACGAGGGAAGAGGATGAGCAGAAGGGGGAGGGGAAAGGGTAAGGAGGAGGTGGATGGAGAGGAGGCGGTGGAGGGTGGTGCTTTATCCTCGTTTCTTTCTTCGTTCCTGCACTTTGTCTTTTCTCCAAGTCGTAGTCGCCGTCGGCTTCTTCGTTGCCGCCTTCGTCATGGTCGTCGTAGTCTGCGTCGTCGCTGCCGTGCTCGTCATCGTCTTCGTCGTTGCCGCCACCGTCACCGTCGTCGTAGGCGCCGCCGTCTTTGGTGCCGTTGTCGCCGCCATCATTGCCGTTGTCTTTATCGGCGCCGCTGGCGTCGTGTTCGCCTTTGCCCCCCCTCAGCGAACCAGGCCATCTACTTGATCTGCACGGGCGCCCGCAACAGTGCCTTCCGAAACATCAAGTCGATCGCCGAGGCGCTCGCTGACGAGATCATGAACGCCGCCAAGGTGTCCTCTATCAGCTTTGGTGAAGGGGATGAGACAGCGGGTGAGGGAGGATGACGAGGAGGAAAAACAAGGTGAGGGAAACTGGTGAAGGAGCATAAGACACGTGCGAGGACAAAGAGCAGGATGCTGTGGATGAGGATCAGGTTGCGGAGGGTGAGGTTGTTGTTGGTGATGGTGGTGATGATGATCCATAAGGGCTTCGCCCCCTGCCGCCGGCCCCCTCTCTCGGAGACTGGGCCATGGAAGAGCGAAGTCATGAGGCTTTGGCTTCGCCGCGGAGCAGTGTCGGGACCTGTTTGTTTGTCGACCCTGACCCTACGGATCTGCGTGAGGGGTGCCGCCGAATTTTAGAAATGTGGCAAATCTCCTGTGTTGTTGGACCCTGACCCCGCCGATCTGCGTGGGGGGTGCCGCCGAATTTCAGAAATGTGGCACATCCCCTGCGTTCTTGGACCCTGGCCCTGCCGATCTGCGTGGGGGGTGCCGCCGAATTTTAGAAATGTGGCACATCCCCTGTGTTTTTGGACCCTGACCCTGCCGATCTGCGTGGGGGGTGCCGCCGAATTTCAGAAATGTTGCAAATCTCATGTGTTTTTTGGCCCTGACCCTGCCGATCTGCGTGGGGGGCGCCGCCGAATTTTAAACATGTGGCACATCTCATGTGTTTTTGAACCCTGACCCCGCCGATCTGCGTGAGGGGTGCCAGGATATTTCAGACATGTAACAAATCCTTTGTGTGTTTGGACCCTGACCCCGCCGATCTGCGTGAGGGGTGCCAGGATATTTCAGAAATGTAACAAATCCTTTGTGTTTTTGGACCCTGACCCCGCCGATCTGCGTGAGGGGTGCCACCGCTTTTTTTGTAAGGTGGTAAATCCTTGTGTTTTTGGACCCTGACCCCGCCGATCTGCGTGAGGGGTGCCACCGAATCAAAGAAATGTGGTAAATCCTTTGCGTTTTTGGACCCTGACCCCGCCGATCTGCGTGAGGGGTGCCACCGAATTCTAGAAATGTGGCAAATCTCATGTGTTTTTGGACCCTGACCCCGCCGATCTGCGTGAGGGGTGTCAAGTTTTACCCACCCCAGCAATTCAGACAATACGATTTGGTAAAAATGTCCGTTTTGGGCCTTCCCCCCTCGCGCTGTCCATCAACAAGGAACAGTAAGCAGCAAGACGCAGAACTGTAACACGGAACAGTAAACAGCAAGAAGCAGAATTGCAACAGTGGAAACTGGAAGCTGCAACTGGTACAGGAAACTGCGAACCTCTAGCCTACAGCCTGGTGGCCCCACAAGGGGGCCGGCGGATTCTGGTAATGGGAGTGATGGTGATGATGCTGTTGCTGATGGTGATGATGGTGATGCTGATGATGGTGATGGTGATGGTATGCCAATGATGATGGTGCTGATGATGTTGATGCCATTGGTGTTGATGATGGTAAGGTTGGTGATGCTGGTGATGGCGATAGTGGTGATGATCGTGATGATGGTGATGATGATGATGATGATGATGCTGCTGCTGATGATGATGATGATGCTGCGGATGATGATGATGATGATGATGATGATGATGATGATGATGATGATGATGATGATGATGATGATAATCGTGATTGTGGTGGTGGCGATCTGCATGACGATATGTGCGAAGAGAAGTATGTGGAGACGATGGAGGATGATAGAGAGGATGATAAGGATGCCTAGGAGGACGAGGAGGAGGTAGACAAGAAGGTGGGAGATGAGGGCGACGATGAGTAGGAGAAGCATGCAACGTGCGAAATGGGCGACGAGAGGACCAGGGGGGGGGGCGCGGCGGAAAGGAGGTATCAGTGGGAGCAAGATGTGGAAGATAAGGAAGGCAGTCGCAAAGGAGTCTTCCAACTACCATGCCATCCTCCTCTTCGTGCTCGTCGAACGCCCCTGCCTCACAGCTACGCCATCCTCTTCCTTATCTCCCTCATCCTCATTCCCCTTCCTCGATCCTCCATCGATGCGGAATCCTCGATCCTCCGATCCTCAATCTCCCTCCCCATTTCCCTCCCCCTCCCTCCAGAATCGGCCCCGGGATCTCTCTCCCTGGTTCGGTTTGGCCAGAGGTGTGTGGGGGGGAAGCAGAAGTGGCGACGAGAGGCTTTCCAAAGGCCTGATGGGGTGGAGGAGAGGGACGAACATGTCGACCCCTCCTCCTCCTCCTCCTCCTCCTCCTCCTCCTCCTTCCCTCCTCAGCCGAATCATTCAACGTATGCTTGGTTGTCTTCGTCATCGTCGGGTCCGCCCTCCCGCCGAGGAGTCCTCCAACAGCTACGCCATCAAGAAGAAGGACGAGATCGAGCGCGTGGCGAAAGCGAATCGCTGAGGGGCCTAGGAGTCGATTGTGAGCCTGTGGCGCTTGCCGCTGCCCGCACTCTGGCGCGGAAGGACGTACCCCTCCTCGTCCTGTGTCTGTTGTTCTTCCTGCTCCTGCTGGCTGCTCATTGCTGCTGCTTCTCCTACTGCTGCAGTTCCTGGTGCTCCTCCTTATGTTCTCCTCGCCGTCGTACTCCTTCTCCGTCTGCTTCGGTCTCTCCTTCCTCCTCCACCTCCTACTCCTCCTTCTCCTACTGCACCAGTTGATATAGTCGCCGCCTCATTCCTCGCCCCATGCCCCCTCTGGTCCTGTTCTTTCTTATGTTTATCTCGCTTCGTCCTCTTCCTCCCGAGCATGTGCCCATTCCCTTTCTTTGCGGCTGTCATTCTCCTCTTCGTCCTCCCTCCTGCCTCCTCCTACTCTTCGTCCTCCCTCCTCCTCCTGTTCTCTGTCTCCTGACGGCATCCTTCCCACTCCTCCTCCTCCTTCTCCTCCTCCTCGTCCTCCTCCTCCTCCTTTTCCCCTTCGGCTGGCGACTGCCCGCTTCGCCGCCGTTGTCGTCGTAGGCTCGTTGCTGCCGCGGCCACTGCTGCTGCTGGTGCTGTCGTCCGTCGTCGCCGTCTCGTCTGTCACGTGCTCGTTATGCTTGGGACCTGACATCGTCACGTCTTGAGGCTCGAGGTTCGAGTCCCTCCTCGTTGTCTTCCTCCATCTCCTGCTCCTCCCCCCGCCGAGCACAGGAGGTCAACGAGCTCCGCGCGCTCGTGTTCCGGGAGCACGCCAGGAGCTCGATGGACCTGTCCAGTCTGGAGGACGCTCCTGTCGCCGCCCTTGTCCGACATGTCCCATTCGGCGGAGCGTCGGGGGAGAGCAAGTGAGAAGGTGCAGGCCTTCTCACAAGGCGGCGGGGCTCTTCAGAGGCCCTCCAGTATTTGAGAAGCACTATGTGGCTTCGGAGCCTTCGGATGAGGCATGCCACCTCTGCCTTCCCCACCTGGGCGCGCCGCCAACCCATGTTCCTGATACCGTGATGCCACGCTCCGCATAGCCTCCCAATCATGGCACTGCCGCACAGTGCCCTTGAAATCTCCATTCCGGATCTAGCACGCCCCTGGGCCATTGGACTCCGATGATTCCCAGAGTCACCATGACGCCATGTCGTGAGCTCATCGTTCAGTCTGCCACAGCCTGCGGCGCCCACCGCGCACGTCTGAGCCACATCTCGTCCATGAGGCCTTTTGCGCGCTGGACCTGCAGCGCACGTTTCTTCTACACTCTTTGGCGAACAGCCAGCGCAGCCACCACGCCTGGGATGCTGAGGTTCAGCGTTCCATGGGAGCACAACAGTCTCGCGCACATATCACGGCCCCAAAGGGCCCGGAGCCCTCTTGCGCCCCGCGCCCTCGCTCTCCGAGCGCCGCCGCCGCCCGCACGTGCTGTATTCCCGTGCCCACGGGTGCGCGGGCGGAAATGTCGGCTGATCTCCGTCGTCTCTGGGATGCCAGGTCTGCGTCCCCTGCCCCTGGGGGGCAACGTTGGGGGGGGGATGCAGCAGCCGCGCCAGAGGAGAAACTGGCCTGCCATCCGGCGCCCCGCGAGAATTCCTTCTTGCGAAGGCCTTACGTCCGGTGCCGCCGACCCTGAAGAAGACGACCCTGACCACGACGAGGTAGAGGAATGTGGAGGAGGAGACGCAGGAGGAGGGGGCGGAAGACGACGCCGAGGAGGTGAAGGATGTGAAGAAAAAGAACGAGGAGGGGGAGCAGCAGGAGGGGGTTGCCGATGATGTTGAAGTGCATGGGGATGTGGAGGCCGAAGTTGAAGGGAGGGTGGGGGGCTGAGCACCAGCGGGGCACTCTTGGACGGTCTTTGTGTTTTGTTTGAAGTTCGGGAGACCCCGGAAGGGTGGCATTCCCTCCCGGGACCTCCCCCGGGACTCCCCCGCGGGACCCCCCCGCGGGACCCCCCCCTGGACCCTCCCCAGGACCCCCTCAAGGACCCCCCCCCCCTGGCGGGGAAGGGATCAAGGGAAGGGGCTTCTCTTCGACTCAACTGCGTACGACATTACGTAATTTCGTTCTAGCTGGCGCGACTGAGGAGGAAAGTTCAGAGAAAGAGGGTCGCAGGCCTAGAGGTTGACACCAACACGATCGGCCGTGTGCTTCCACCGAGGGAAGAAGATCCCGATCTCGGTGATGATGGTAATATCCTGGTGTTGAAGGTGGCCGGAACATTACCATTAACATTGAAATCTAGGATCATTTTCCCCTGTGGAGGTAATCCCTTGTGTTGGTGTTAGTGCCTATCTCCAGGCCTCCTAGAGGGGGAACGGCGACGGCGACGACGACGACGAAGACGGTGCCGAGCGGACAGCTCTCCCACACGCCGACAGGGCCGGGCCGGCGGAGTCCCCGATGGGCCCGCGGAGCATTGGGGCACATTGCGCAGCTCCGAGTCGACGATGCATGTGCCCCCCCCCTCCTCCTCCTCCGCCTCCTCCTCCGCCTCCTCCTCCGCCTCCTCCTCCTCCTCATCCTCCTACGATGGCACGATGTCTTATCGTATTTGCCTGCCGTAGGCTCAGGGGGGGACGCATCGCCTCCCAGTCGTCCATCGATCGCGGATCGGGGCCCGATATCCTTCCCCGCCCATGACCGTGAAATTTCATTTTCGTGGACTTATCGCCGATCTACCGGCGATGTATCGCAGATTCCAAGACGCTGTTCCCCATCCACACCTTCCGGAACCAGTTTCCCCCCGCAGTGCCTCCTCCCTCTCCTTTTCACCTGCTGCGCCACACACGCGCACACCTCCGCAATCATGATGCCGTGTTGCTTGTCGCACCGTACACCTAGCTTGCTGCCTGGGTCCAGCCCGATGCACGCCGCTGTGTGGCCTCCGACTTCTGGTGGGCAAACCGCGGCAAGAGGACTCTCGTGACCGAGGCAGCCTGCCGCTGCAGAGCCATGACCGCGCCTTTGACTTTGAGGATGGCCTCCTCCTCCTGCTCCTCCTCCTCCTCCTCGTCCTCCTCCTCCTCCTCCTGCTCCTCCTCCTCCTCCTCCTCCTCCTCACCGTGTTGAAATCAATCACATCGTGGACGTCCTGTGGCTGGCGGCTCTCTGACAACAGGACGTCCAGCCGGCCTTGCGCGATCGGCAGGGCTTGCTAGCGGCAGGCGCTCGGCCTCCCCGAGCACGACGACCAGCTGAGGTGCGAGTCGGCGCTGGCCGACGCTGCCGAGAGCAGCAGCACCGGCGACGAGCCGAGGCACGGACCTGGCGCCGCGCGGAGGTCGGGGGCGGAAAAGAGGGGGGTGATGACTAGAAGGGGGTGGATATCATGGCGCGGGCCATGATATTTCCCCAGATTTCATGGCGCCTCTTCTTGTTTCATTACGTCCCTGGCCCCCCCGCTGGGCCGCGCACATGCCGCCGGTCATGATTTGCACCCCCCCCTCTTGGACACCCCCCTCTTGGCCGCTCCCGAGGAGGGCCATGTTGAAGCACACGGGCCACCAGAGGAGACGCAAGTTCCTGGACCTCGCCCTAACGACCGCCGCTCTCGGGGCGAGCAGCTTCCTCGGGCAGAGCTCGGTGACGCCGAAGGTACTGGAGCGGTATCGGATCGAGGTCGCGGGCTTCACGGCTTTCTCCGGCAGCCGCCCGCTGAAGTGCGACGAGAAGGTGGACGGCGCGCTGGTGGACTACTTCAACTTCATGTTCCCCAAGGGCTGGTCAGCTGCCAGCTCGCCCGGGCCTTCCGCTGCCTGACGGGCTGGCGGCGCCGGGGGCCTGGCCGCAGCCGGCGGAGCTGGCTTTTGGCTCTGTGGGCTGGGGTAGCCTGGCGGCTAGTGGAACAGGGTTTTCTACAGATGCCAGTTTTTCTTTTGATCTCCCTCAGCAACTACTTGGGGCCGAACGGTTGATGGGGCTCAGCATTGCGCCTGATGCGGGGATCTCGCCGTTTTGGGATCTTCTTCTCTCATCCCCTCGCAGCTGGCAGGGTGGAGCAAGACAAACCTGAGCGACGTCAGTATAGTCATAGTTTCTTCTTACCTGCAGCTTCTAGGCCCGATCCTGAAGGCGTTGGCCCACGAGCCGAAGGAGGAATCTGTCCGGACTTTCACCTACACGGTCGAATTCAAGGCCACGCTGGCCGAGCTCCAGATAAACGAAACCATCGCGCCGTACCAGACGAGGCGCTCGGGTCCGTCGATCGACACAGGTCGGCGATACTGCGGGCGAGAGTTGTGAGTTGCTGCCCCTGCCCCCTGGGGCAGCTGCTCGAGGCATGCGAGGCCGCGCTCGGGGACATACTCGTGGGCATGCCTCACGGCGTGGCGCTCCCATGGCATGGCACTGCAAGTGCCGCTACATCCTCGACCTCTATTCGGATACGGGGGGAGTTGCACGTGCGGCGGCCCAGCAGGGTTGCAACGCTCACGCGTGCGACCGCCTCGAACGCGTGGACCCTGACGGATGCGACGGTGCTGAACCTCCTTGGCGCCTCTGTGAGGCGCGGCGAGGTGCTGGGGGCAGTGATGGGCCCCCCTTTGCGAGGCCTTGGGTAGCGCTGCCGATCGCGGGCGGGACGGCCCCATCCACTCCGTCCGGGAGGCCTGGGGGCTACCCGAATCCCGGCTCACGGCACGCCAGTGCCAGCGGCTGTAGCGCGGCAACAACATTTCCCAAGGTGTTTTGCAATTGCTTCGTGTGTTATGTCGTTGTACGGTCCCGACGATATTGGAGCATCCGCTTCATTTAAGGATCTGGTATACCTTTGAACTCTTGACACTCATCCGCCGGCAAGGGGGGACACACCATCATTTTTCACCAATGCCAGTTTGACCGATATTCGCGAAAGCGCACCGAACTCTTTTGTGTTCATCGTGATTCCGCGTACATTGACAAGTTCGATCGCAGGTGCAAGTGTTCCTCTAGGGGGTGTAGTCGAACAGGCCGGCAACATTTCGCTTTATAAGGGGCCGTCATGTCGGGCAGAAAGTGGACAGCCATTGCAGCCTCAGATCATCCGTCTCGGTGTAGGGCCATGGTTCGGGCTCTGCTGTTCCATGCTCGCGATGCAATCGCCGCTTTCGCTTGTGGCTGACGCCGGCCTTCAGCCCCGCCGTGCCGCGTTTTTTTTGGTTTGCTTTTTGTGCCCTGTCCCACCTGTCCCTGGGAACCTCTGGGCTCAGGTCGCCCGCCTTTCGAGTTGGGGATGTCTTGAGCGAGGAGCCTCATGCGTCTTAGACTCCTGCTAGTCTGTGCACGTATCGGTAGGCGATACGGTCGCGCTGACGCGTGGCACCTTATAGCAAACTGCCCCCCCGAACAAAATACAGCAGCACTTGTGTTGGCTTGCGCGGGAGGGAAAGGGGCATTGTACGGTTGACGGCTCCAGCTGCCATAATATATGCTCAAACCTCCCTCCTCTTTCCTCCCTCCCTCCCGCGTGCCTGTCTGTCGCCGGGATATCTTGAGCAAGGAGCCTGATACGTCTGGGGCTTCTGCCGGTCTGTGCACAGCTCGGTGGGCGCCACGGGTCGCGCTGACGCGTGGCACTTTGCAGCAGAAATTGCCCCCACGAGCAAAAGACAACAGCACGTGTATATACATGAGTTCCTCCCGTTCTCCTGCCCCTACCTGCACTATTGTTGTTCCCGTCTTGCTCTTCTCTCATCTTGCTCAGCTTGTTTGCCAGATTTGCCACTTCAACTGCTGATTTCCGCCGCTGCCCCAGGAGAGGGTCATGAGAAAGGCGCCCGCCGCGGTTGAGGAGACGCGGGCTGACGTTCCGCCACTTTTGCTCAGCACTTCACTTTCACAATCTCCACGCCGCCTCTTGTCGAATTGCATGTCGCGCAGCACAATGCGAGCGCGGGCTGTTCCAAGATGGACCGTTTGTGCCTCGGACCTTCCCATCTGTCCCAGCTGCAGAAACAGTCCCCCAAAAGAGCCCCGAGAGATCCCCGAGAGGACTTCAACAACTCCCCCAAGCGGCTCCAAGAAGGCCCCAAGACGGGCCCAGGTGTCCAGCCAGCCGCGTGTCGACGCCACGTGCCCGAACGGCCACCGATCAGGAATTGTGCGGTCTAGTCTCTCCTTGGGGCCCGCTGTGATTCCCGCTCTCCGGACGCAATCCCACGGAGGGGGGGGGGGGCAAACAAAGCCCATGGAGGCAACGACTGGTCCCGGGAGGGCACCAAGTCCATGTCTTGGTGGGACAGAGGCAGCCGAAAACGAGCCAAGAGGGCCATCAGCGCAAACATGACCCCCCTTGTTGCTATCACCCCTATTTCGTCCGCCCCGACGCGCCCGCCTTCCGTGTGTCTGGTGGAGCTTTTCAACGGCAGGATCGCACAACAAGATGAAGGTCTCAGGCGAGGTCCGGGTACGTGTGACTGCTGGAAGCCCTCAAGACGAATGTGTGCGACGCTAGGGCTGGAGCCACGACGAACGACGACGACGGACAACGGACAACCGACGAAGGACGACGAAGGACAACGACGGACGACGGCGGACGACAACGACGACGACGACGACGACGACGGACGACGACGACGGACGACGACGACGATGGACGACGGACGGGCGGGCGGGCGGGCGGACGGGCGGACGCATGGACGGACGACGACGACGACGACGGACGACGACGTTGACAACGACGACGAAGCCGACGACGACGACGATGTCAACCGCCTGATATGTCATATACGAAGGGCTCCGCCCTGTGCCGCCGGTCCCCCCTTTGATTGCTTGCGTGCTTACGCGTGCTCGGCTGGTGCGTTGGTTGGCTTGGTGGCTTGGTGGCTGGCTGGCAGCTCGGTTGGTCGGCATGTTGTCGGTATATATATATATATATATGTATAGATCTATGTGTATATATAAATTGGTGCCAATGGGTTTTGCTTGGCGTGCTTCGCGCATCTGTACTGATAACTGGAGGAGGGTGGCCTCGGGAGCGCGCTTCTGGTGTAACTTACGAGGGTTCGCGGCCCCAGGAGCGCGCACCCCCTGCTATGTTCGAGGGGCCGTGGCGTCGGGTCCAGCACCGAAGCTACAGGACATGCGGGGGGGGGGGGGGGGCGAAATGCGCCCCCCGAGCACACATCCCAGTGCAGAAAAAGAAGATGTTTCTGCCCTGGAGATGGGGTGGCTGGCGCTTCGGGGGCAGCCTCCGCAGGGTGGCTTCGGAGAGAATGGCCTTCGTAAGTTACGATTGGGTTGTGGCCTCGGGGGCGGGGCCAACACCTAGATATGCATTTCACCGACCCGCCCGCCACATTCTGATTTCGATATCAGCCCACTCGCCGAATAATTTTGAATCCCAGATTCCCACGGGCGCCATCAACCCTCACTTACCGCACTCAAATCTACAACCAACGGGGAAGCAACCATGTGCACTCCTTGGCCTGAAAACACAACATCGCTAGAATTCACCGTGACCTCACCACTCCTTCCCGCCGGAGCATCGACGATGCCAGTCCCAAGAAGGCAATTCGATCGCAAATCAAAGCAGGCACTGCAGGTCTCCAGCGGGAAGTGCAGCATGGACTCGGCCAGCGCCGCTCGCTTGAGTGAAGAGTGAGGAGGAGGAGGAGAAGTGAGGAGGAGGAGGAGGAGGAATATGAGGATGATGAGGAAGACGAGCAGGAGAAGGAGGATGCGGAGGAAGAGCTGGAGCAGGAGGATACAGAGGATGTCTCCGCCACTCGACGTCGCGCTGCATTCTTAAGCGTGGCTATCCTGCTGGAGCTCTCTATCCTACCGGATAGCCCAGAGGGCAGCCTGTTCGTCGCGTGCTGTGTTTCACACGAGTTCATGCACAGGGTTGTCAGGCGAGTCTACCTCCCGCGTGAGACGCTTCAGCGCGAAGTTCCTGACGCCTCGCGTATCCTCACCATCCCTGTCCGCACCTGGACGTTGGAACGTTATCGCGCCATTTTGGCTGCGCTAGGTCGTCTCGGTGCCTACCTCAGGCCTGTTGGACGCACCTGCATGCCCGTTCAGGGGCTGTCATGGCACCTGGATTGCATCGGCTTCGCCCCCCTGGACGCTGTCGTGAGCCGCCTGATCCGCGGCCCTGCGCGCGTTAGGTAATTTAGTCGCGTCCGCGGCCCGTTCGCGACCTTCCGCCGCTGGCGCTTCCGCCTGCGGCTGTAAAAAAAAGAAAGTATCCTCACCATCCCATCCAGAGACGATCGCCAGGTGAGCTGTTTTGGGAACTTCGCTGGGGCTTCGCATGCGCAGCCAGCTAGAGCCATTCAGAAACGATGCCCATGCGCGTTTCCATGGTCAGGAGCAAGAACGGCCAGATCGGGCCGTCTTGGGGTCTCTCTCGTGTCATCCGTGTCTCTCTGGCGGGGGTGGTATCTGAGATCGACTGGAGGCGTGGCGAGGGCGAAGAGGGGGTGAACATAAGTTGAACGAGTTACATTTATTCCAGTAATTGACAGCGGCGGCCATCTTGGACCGCCCCAGGGCTTCGCTCGTGCCACCGGTGTTTCTTTGGTCAGACGTCTTGAAGGCGCGGCGGGGTCGCAGAACGGAGCGGGCAGTTGTTTAAAATGATGTATCATGTGTTCCCGTGGCTGGGTGGGCATGTTGGGTCGTCCTGGGGCCTCGCTGGTGCCACATTGGCCTCCTCGTGGGTGGTATCTCAGACGTTTTCGAGGCGTCGTTGGGTCGCAGAGCGGGGGGCGGGGACAGATGTTGAATGCTTTGGAATTCTGTCATGGCGCTACGGCCATGTTGGGCCGTCCGGGAGCATCGCTCGCACCATCCTTGCCTCTGGCGTGTATTTCAAGCCGCATGTGAGGCACCATTCAGCAGAGCATTTATTTCCATGCAGAGGCAGTGCCGAGACGAACAGTTTGTTCCAGGGGGCGTGAGAATTCAGCAATGGGCGCCAGCAGGCAACCCAGAATTGATGCCTAGCCGGTTTGTCGTTCGAAATGCGTGAGTACATTTTGGAATCATCTTGGGAGGAGACGGAGGAGGATGAGGAGGACGATGAGGAGGAGGGGGGAGTATCAGAAAGAATATGAGGTGGAGGCGGAGGAAAGGGAGGCGACATGGGGCACGGCGAATGAGGATGAGGATGAGGAGGAGGAGGAGGAGGAGGAGGAGGAGGAGGAGGAGGAGGAGGAGGAGGAGGATAATGAAAAGGAGGAGGAAGCGGAGGCCTTCTCGGACCTTCAGTCGTGAGGTCCTGTTGATATCACGTCGGTGTTTCTTTTGAGCCCCTTGGGGTCTTCTGGGGTGCCTCCTGGATTCCTTTTGGGGTACTCGTGATGCTCTTTTCGGAAGTTTTGGGGCCCTCTTGGGGGTCTTTTGGGCGGTCCTAGGGCCTTCATAGGACGGTTTTGGGTCCCACTGCTCAGAACGTGAGGGGGGTAATTCGGGAGGCGGACAACTTGCCTTTTGGGGTTCTCTTGGGAGCCGCGAGGGCGGTCTCTGGGCTGTATTGGGCCTTTGGGGGCCCCTTCTGGAGCTCTCTTCTCTTGGGCCTCTTGAAGCCATCTCGGGGCCTCATAAGCCGATCGGAAGCGAACAGGCGAAAAGGCATAGCACTGTGGTGTCCACGCGGTTGACAGGTAAGCTTGCAGTCAAGACGCCGAAGTATGTGAGGACCATTTGGGGCTCGGGAGGGCCCTGGTTTCCGCTGTTACGCAGAACCATGCCGCACTGACGGGGCAAGTGCACGACGCGCACGTGGATCGCTGGTCGAGGTTGCTCCTGTGTGTGTGCCTCCGCGAGCAAGCGCAACGGCGTCGGCCAGCGGAGTCTGCATTTCGGCCACCTCTGCTGGCGTGGCCCGCTGGCCTGTCGCCGTCCGCTTCCGCAGGAGGAGGGGGACTCTGTTTGAAGGAGGAGGAGGAGGAAGAGGGACAGGAGTAGGAGGAGGAGGATGATGAGGAAGAGGGAGAGGGGGAGGGGGACTCTGTTTGAAGGAGGAGGAGGAGGAGGAAGAGGGAGAGGGGGACTCTGTTTGAAGAGGAGGAGGAGGAGGAGGAGGAGGATGGGGACTCTGTTTGAAGGAGGAAGAGGGACAGCCACTCGCAAGTCGCAGCCTTACGGAAGTACAGAGCCAATACAGACTCTGCCAGCGTACACCGCTTCCGTATCATGCACAGCGCTGCCCTGCACAGCCAGCAATGCCACACGCCCGCACACGCTCTCCCCAGCACCCCCACATCCTCATTAAGCTTTCAGCTCCCCTCACTCGGCGGAGACCTGTCCCGACGGTGGACCTGCCTGCACTGGTCCCCCGACCGTGCATATTGTTGACTCGTCGCACGCCGCACTTGAAAAGCATGAGGGGGGTGGTCTTTCGGGCCGTTCCTGAGATCTAGGTCGGATTTGCTTGTGTGCAAGAAAAGCCCGTCGTTGCATATTCAGCGTTCAATCTGGCATCATAATGGCAGATCTAGGGACGACGCCCGCTTCCACACCCCTGCCCACGGATGCGGCTCGCGTATGCTGTTCTCGGTACGCCACGGCTGTTTTCGAGCAGTCATGGCGCCATTCTTGGCCGCCCTGCCGACATCTTAGCCATCCAAGGCCCGATTTCAACGACTTCCGGGGGCGGGGGGCGGCTCACCAGGAGAAGTGCTCGAAAGGCGTCGTGGCACCTCGGGGGGGGGGGGGCTCCGCGTTCCTTATTCCTTCGACATCGCTCCTGACTCTCGCACCACCAGACGCGTCGTTACGGTAGGTTCGTGTCGTGTCGACCAGCGGCGACCCCGCCGCCGGCGTTCAACGTGGAACGTCGCGGGCGACCCAGAATCGTTCGATGTGGAACGATTTGACGTTTCGGAAACGGCCGATCGTTCAAGATTGAACGATCCCCGCGGTGTCAGAAACCAACGCCGAAGTCGGCACGACGCGAACCTGCCGTAGGTTGGGCCGCGCGTTTCGCTCGAGACTGCTCGCGCGTTGCAAACGTGAAGCTCGAGAAGCTGCTCGACGCTCTGGGGGCCGCCGGCGGGCCGAGGCCTCCCTGCGACGGGACGACCCACCACCGTGAGACCTCCTCCTACTTGTCCTGCTCTTCCTCGTCCTCGTCCTCCTCCTCCTCCTCCTCCTCCTCCTCCTCCTATGTTCTTCAGCTCCGTCTCCTTCTCCTCCTCCGTCTCCTCTCCTCCTCCTCCTCGTCCTGAGGAGGAGGAGGAGGAGGAGGAGGAGGAGAAGGACGACGGCAACGAACGCAGCCAGCATGTACGTTCGCAGCCCCCTCGCACTGCTCACGCTTTGCACACACGCTGCCTGAGAAGCTTGACGCTTCCACCAGCAACGCGGAAGGAGCCCAGGTCGTTGTCGAAGTGGGGCTCTCCCCGTGGCGCCGCGCACGGCCGTCTTAAGCATCTCCAGCAACAGCAAGAATGGACCACAGGTCGTTGTCGAAATGCGGCCCTCGCCATGGCGCCGTGCAGGCCTGTCCTAAACACAATACAACATTCACTAGGATGGAGGGGGTCGGTTGCAAAGTGTTTTTTTTACTGTAAGTAGTGCCCTTGTTGAACGCTTTGTTGCATTCTTAGAGCGTTTCCCTCATGCTGTTTATGGGCAGCCCTCTTGGAACGGTTGGGCCAGATACGTCAAAGAAACCTAGATATTGGACCTTGGATCCTCGAATCTAGATCCTCGATCCTCGATCCTGCACGCCTGTCATGTGATGCGCTCCGGCCAGAATTTCGACGCGAAGCGTCCCAGACGCTCAAAACGTCATAACGAATGTGGAAATCGATCCTCGATCCTCGACGAGCGCCAAGACGTGTCCAAAGAGCCGCGATCTTCCGCGGCGCCAGACAAGCAGGAAGTGCCAGGCACCTCGATTCTCGGCAGCGCCAGGAAAGCCAGGAAGAAACCTCGTTCCTGGATCATGGAATCTCGATCCTCGAACCTCGATCGTCGATCTTTGACGAACAGCGACAGGAGGGCTGCTCGCACGGCGGCGCCAGACGAAGAGAAGGAGGCGGGAGGAGGAGGAGGAGGAGGAGAAAGAAAAAGAGGAGGATGACAAGGAGGAGAGGGAGGAAAAGACGATGGAGGAAGAGAGGAAGGAGGAGAGGGAGGAGTAGGAGGAGGAGGACGAGGCAGAGGAGAAGGAGGCGGAGGAGAAGGAGGACAGGGAGGAGGAGCAGAAGGCGCAGGAGGAGGCGCAGGAGGAGGAGGAGGAGGAGAAGGAGGAGGAGGAGGAGGAGGATATCCTCGACCCTCGAATCTCGACGAGCGCAGGACTGCTGCACCTCCATCAGCGAGCGCGTCGACGCGCTGCTGGCGGAGCTCGGCGCGAGGGAGCGGGAGCGGGCCGCCGCCGCTGCTGCTGCTCTTCTTCCCTCCCCATTTCCCGCCCCCTCCTCGAGTATCCTCCCCTCAGCAATTAAACACGGCTTTCCGACCGTCGTCTATGACGGCCCCGTCCTCGACCCGCACGTCGAGGCCCGTGCCCCCGCGGCCCGCCACAGGTGCGTTCGGCCCCGCCGCGTAGGCGGGTGGAACGGACCCTGGGTACGCTGGGCTCCTCGTCTATCCTCGTTCCTCTCGTCTCTCGACGACCTATCCTCATCATGCCAATGCTGCTGTGCACCCCTTTCCTCCCCACTCGCGTTCCTCCTCTCCTCTTCTGATTATCCTCCTCCTCCTCCTCCTCCTCCTCCTCTTCCTCCTTATCGTCATCCTCGTCACCCTCACGATGATCATCATCGTCAACATCATTATCATCATCATCATCGTCATCATCATTTTCATCATCATCATCATCATCATCACCGTCATCACCATCATCAACAACAGCATCACCAACAACAACACCATCACCCTCGCCATCATCGTCGACGGCATCGGCATCGTCATCGCCATCGCCATCGTCACCGTCACCAGCGCCATCGTCATCATCATCATCATCATCGTCATCATGATCGTCTTCGTTATGGTCTTCGTCATCGTCACCATCATCCGCATCATCATCAGCATCATCATCATCCTCATCGTCGTCGTCGTCATCGTCATCATCAAATTCGTCATCATCATCAGCAGCATCATCATCATCATCGTCGTCTTCGCTGTCGTCGTCGTTGTCGTCGTCATAATCCTTATTGTCGGCGTCGTCATCGTCATCGTCATCATCGTCATCATCATCCTCGCCCTCCTCCTCTTCGTCAGATTCCTGATCATCCCCTCCTCGTCTTCTCTTCTCTTTCTTCTTTCTTCGCTTTGTACAATGGCACATCATGAACACTACTCTCCTCTTTCTCCTGACTGTGCCCGGCAGATGTTCGGCCCTATCCGCGCATCGTCAGCAGTTAAGTGTTCGTATGTCTCATGTTTTTTGTTTTCAAAATTCGATTGTTTCCGGTGGTTCGAAATGGTGCTCCCGCTACAGCGTGGGCCGCATTTTCGGATCGGCGCTTTGCTTACGTCGTTCGGGTCGTTCCTCTCCTTCTCCCCACTTTTTCGTCCTTCTCGCTCATCTCTCCTCTGCTCAGGTTCGGTGACGGGCCATGCGCCCCTCCTTGACTCCTGGGTCCTGGGCGAGAGGTCGGCACCTCGCCGAGCCGCCCTATGGGGGAGAGCGTATTGACAACTGGGCCAGGATCTGTGAAGCCGTGGCCATTGAGGGCCACGGCACGTCCTTGCTGTGCGCCCCACTCTCCCCCCCCTGCCTGGAGGGGGGGCCGAGGTCGCCCAGGAATCCGGTCGTTTGCTGGCCCCCGGCAGTCGGCGCGATGACGCCTGGGCTGCTGAGGCAGCGGAGTCGTCGTGGTCCGATTCGGTGTTGGGCCCAGCCCCGCACGCGGATAGGAGGGATTCCGAGGCGGCCTTGATCGGACGGCGGAGGAGGAGGAGGGGCGATGAGGAGGAGGGATGAGGAGAGCCCGCTGGGAGCGGCCACGCAAGTTCATCCCGGAGACCTCGGAGCGCCCCTCCAGTGAGGAGGGCCCTTCCTTGCGGACGCTGGTTCGGGCCTTGGAGACATGTGGCAGTACGCGGGGTCGGGGGGGGCAGTGTGTTCTGCCGCGTGTGTGACTCGATTCCGGATCAGGACTCAGCCCATCAGTTGTGCGAAGCGACGTTCGAGGACCGCAGCATTGATGAGTTTTGTGTTCCGCCCAAATCATACACTTCAGTTTGGGAGATGTTTCCGCCTCCCCCTTCTGCAGCACCTGTCGCAAGACGTTTGCGACCTGTTTCCGACTATGCATTGCCAGTTCGCCTGGTTTCGCCCCCTTGTTCGACCCACGTTGTCATCACATTGCGTCGCCCCACAAAGTCCTCCCCCCTCCCTCCTACCCTCTCTCCACTCTCCTCCTGCTACTCCTCATCCGCATTATCCTCTTCCTCCTCCTCCTCCTCATAATAATAATCATCATCATCGTCATCATCACCATCATCATCATCATCATCATCATCATCATCATACTCATTCTCATCCGCGTCCCCCTCTTCCTCCTCCCCCTCCTCCTCTTCCTTTTCCTCCTCATCATCATAACCGCCACCTGGGAGGGTGAGCGTTGAAGTAAAGTACCGCTTGTGCAGTGCAGGCGGCGAAGTGACACAAGGGGAGGCACAGTTGCCACAGGGCTTAGGAACAACTTGGAGCCAGCTGGGCGGCTGAGGTAGCTCAGCACTGGGTCGAGCCAGCAGAGGGGGGGGGGAAAAGGGGCCGCATCGCCGCTTCCCTATGAATGTCGGCATGCTCTTGTACTCCGACATGGGTTCGGCGCCGATTCGACGTGAACTCGACGTGGGTTCGACACGGATTCGACGAGTTCGACATGGATGCGACACGGATGGTTGGTGCGACTGGACAGACAAGGCCCCCCCAAAATGCAACATCATGAAGTTGGTGGTGCGGGGATCGACGCAATCGAAACCTTTCCACCACCGCCAATTCGAGGGTCAATGGTGGAAAATTGCTCTTCGGTTCTCGATCCCCATATTTATGTTGCAGTTTCTTGGAGATGGGATTCAGCATTTGCGCTGGCACATCCGTGGTCGATAACTGGCCGGATCCTGGTCAATCTGGCTTGATCATGTTTAGTCCAGCTTCATTCTGGGCTTCTTGTGGTGCAACCTGGTGGAATTGCACCCCAATCTGGCTTAACTGTTTTCAGATCGTTCCCACGAAGTCTTTCCAGGAGTTACCCCCGAATCCCCCTGCTCGGTTCTCGATCCTCAACCTCCTCCTCTTCGTCGTCCTCCCCCTTCCCGATCCTCGAATCTCCTCCCCCTCCTACCGCTCGATTCCTTCTCCTTATGAATAACTTCTCCCTGTCGCACCCCGAGGCCAGTTTTCAGGGCGGGCCGGGCGTTTCGCCTGAGATTTCCTCACCATATATGATTTTGAAGCATAACAAATGGCAACCACTTCACAGATGGAGGGCGGGTGGTTTTCAAACTGTGGATCTCGCCTTAGCGCCGCGCACCTTCATTTTAAAACTTTGCAGGAGTTTCACGGATTGAGGGCGGGTGGTTTTCAACATGTGTCTCTCGCTTTAGCGCCGCGCACAATCGGTTTCAACATTTGCAAGAGTTTCACGGATTGAGGGCGGGTGGTCTTCAAAATGTGGCTCTCGCTTTAGCGCCGCGCACACTCGTTTTAACATTTGCAAGAGTTTCACGTATTGAGGGCGGGTCAGTTTCCAAACGTGGTTTTCGCTTTAGCGCCGCGCACATTCGTTCTAAACGTTTGCAAGAGTTTCACGGATTGAGGGCGGGTGGTTTTCAAAGTGTGTCTCTCGCTTTAGCGCCGCGCACATTCGCCGTAACATGTTGCAAGAGTTTCACGGAGTCACATGTTCAGCGTACCAGAAATTATGTTTTGGAAAGACTCCGGGTTATGCGGGTGCAGCAGTTCTGTTGATTCGCGGTGTTGAAGTCCCAAAAACGGCTTTCTGGCACGATTCCGGATCGTCAAGACGCAGCAGTCAGGTTGATCCGTGGCGCTGAAATCCCGAGAACAATGTTTTGGCATGCTTCAGGATCTACAAACGGTTGCCTTCCAATGAGGCAGTTCCCTCATTCGAGATGAACCGTTGTAGAGGCCTATGAAGAGGGAGCTTGGAGGGAGGGTACATTCCAACATCGTTGATGACTCTTCGGTTTACACTGGTCCTCCTCCTGCTCCTCGGCCCTCCTCCTCCTCGGCCCTCCTCCTCCTCGGCCCTCCTCCTCCTCCTCCTCCTCGGCCTTCCTGTACCTAGGCCCTCTTCCTCGAACCTCGGGCCTCGAACCGGGAGCCTCCTCTTCCTTCTTCTCATCCTCGGCGATCGACCTTGTAACCTCACGGGCCGCCATCAGCCTCGGGCTCTGGCGCGGCGGGGTAGCCCAAGACTGGCGTTCGCAGGACGGCGGCTCCCTGAACGCGCGCGTCGGCGCGCTGGAGGCGGCGGTCTGCGCCAAGGATGGGGGGGGGGGGCATCCTCGGCCCTCCTCGTCCCTCCTCGGCCCTCCTCGTCCCTCCTCGGCCCTCCTCGTCACTGCCTCGTCCCTTCTCGGCCCTCCTCGGCCCTCCTCGTCCCTCCTCGGCCCTCCTCGGCCCTCCTCGACCCACATCGGTCCTCCTCGGCCCTCCTCGGCACTCTTAGGCACTCCTCGGCACTCCTCGCTGGCCCCTCCTTCTTCGCTGCCGATTTTCCTCCCCCTCCTCCTCGGGCATCCTCCCCACTTCCTGTATCCTCCTCCCTCGTTTCCCAAAATGAATGAATCCCACCAGACGTCTGCGTAGGCCTGGCCGGGCGTGTCCCTGGAGACTTGATGGAGGAATCTCATCCTGAAGCTCAAAGTCCTAACGGTTGCACCGATGGAGGGCTGAGGCAGGGCAGTTGATAATGTTGCTCTCGCTTCAGCGCCGCACACACTCGCCTTGAAACTTCCAAACTTTACGAGGATGGAGGCCCGGGCCCGAAGTTCGAACCTGCACAGCAGCCGCACGGATGGACGTCGGCTCCTTTCAGCAGTGGGGCTTCCGCTGGAGCATTCCACAGCGTGCATGGCCAGAGTTCTGAGATCGCGCAGCACACCCGCGCGCACGGATGAAGGGCAGATCGTTCTCAGCACGGAGCTCGCGCTGGATGCCTCCTCTTGGCTCCACGCTCCTGCAGCCTGCGTGTCTCTCTCGTGCCGAGGGGGATGCCGGGCGGTTCCTCTGCAGTGCAGGGGTCTCGCCCGAGTGGCCCGAGTGGCCTCCTCTGCAGTGCAGGGGTCTCGCCGCGTTGGATGCCTCCTCTTGGCTCCACACTCCCGCAGCCTGCGTGTCTCTCTCGTGCCAAGGGCATGCGCGGGCGGTTCCTTTGCAGCGCGGGGTCTCGCCCGAGTGGCAGGCCCGCGGGGCGCTCGTCACTCGTGGGGGGCGGCGTGGGGGGGGAGGCGGTGGGAGGGGGGGGGGGGGGGGGGGGGGGGCGCCTCCCGCCGAGGGCAGGGCCTCCTCCCTCCTCCCGCCTCCCCCTTCCCCCCCTCCTCCTGCTCCTGCTCCTCCCGCTCCTCCTGCTCCTCTTTCCTCATCCTTGGCCACCTCCTCCTCTGCCCTTCCTTCTCTCAGTGTTCTCCTCCTCGCCCCTCTCCTCCTCCTCCTCCTCCTGCTCCTCCTCCTCCTCCTCCTCCTCCTCCTCCTCCTCCGCGGACCCCCCCCATCTCCGTCGGGCCGGCGGGGCGTTGGAGATGGAGGGGCGATGGAGGAGGAGAGGGAAGGGGAGGAGAGCTAGGGATGAGGGCAGGGGGCGAGGAGGAATGGAGATGAGGGCGAGGAGGAGAGGGGCGAGGAGGAGAGGGGCGAGGAGGAGAGGGGCGAGGAGGGGAGGGGCGAGGAGGGGAGGGGCGAGGAGGGAGGTCGCGGAGGGGGGGGGGGAGGGGAAGGGGCGAGCGGGAGAGGGGGAGCGAGGAGGCGGGGCGCGGACGTTGGAGCAGGGGGAGCGAGGGACGGGGAGGAGCAAGGATCGAGGGCGGGGGTTCGTGGGCGATGCTCGTTCCAGTTGGGCTTCGATGAAGGGGCATGTCTCGTTGCCACGGCTGGGCTTCCTGTCGAAAGTATGAAGAGAAAGAGCCCCAGCAGGTGAGATTCAAGGGGCGTTTTTTTGCATGTAGGGAGGAAAAGGAGGAGGAAAAGGAGGAGGAGGGGGAGGAGGAGGAGGAGGAGGAGGAGGAGGAGGAGGAATAGGATGGGCGCATCCTTGGACGAGTCTCATACCGTCATCGAGTCGCATCTAGGAGAAAGAGGAGGACGAGGAGGAGGATCAGGAGGAGGAGGAGGAGGAGGAGGAGGAGGAGGAGGAGGAGGTGAAGAAAGGCTAGGAGGAATACTAGGAGGAGGAGTACGAGGAGGAAGAGGACGAGAACGAGGACGAGGAGGAGGAGGAGGAGGAGGAGGAGGAGGAGGAGGGGAGGGATGTGAGGAGAACGAGGGGTGCCGGCGGGCGGCTGACGGGCAGCGAGGAGGAGCACGGCGTGCAGGAAGGGAGCGAGGGCAGGGGTTCGAGGATCGACTTGTTGTTGCCCTCCCGCCCTTCCCCCCAGCCTTCTTGGGCGTCCAGGAGGCTTCTCGTCTTCACAGCTGGGTTCGGCTCGATGCTCTGGTCGGGGAGCACCCAGGACGGATCTGGAGACTCTGGAAACGAGGAGGACTTGTGGAACCCGCTATATGCAATTGGGCGCTTGACTCCATGGAGATGTGCCCCATTGCTGTTGGGCTGGTCTCCTATCAGAGGAGGGCCACCTGATGATGCCCTTTCTGGGCCGTTGCGATGTAGCATGAATGAGGTGCGGGGAACCACCTTCTGCTGCACTTCGCCCCCTGGCTCAGCTCGGGCACGCGCAGGTCGGCGTCGTCTCTCGAGGTGCGGTCTTTGAGACGACCGCCCTTCCCTCAGGGGGGCGTGCCCGAGGGGCGCCGGGTGGCACTGGCGTTGATGGGCCCTGGGCGCTGCGCCAGCGGTCCGGGCGAGCCTGGCGCAGCTCATGAACGATAGAGCGCTCGCAGGGCGAGCTCCCGCGGCGGCCTCTCCAGCGCTCTCTGCCAGCGCGGCGCGGCGTCGCGGAGCATCCGCGAAGACGCTGACCCCCACCTTCAGCCGCGGGAAGAACCTTGGGCGGCCAGTGAACACGGCAGATGCCCGCCCAGGGGGACCGGGGCCACAGCGGACGCGGCGGAGTTCCGCCTCGCTTGCCGCGCGGCCAGGCCCTGGGTACAGTGGCGCCCCCAGGGCCGATTCACTGGAGCAGGGCGGCGGCGGCCACGTGCCCGCGGCGCGGCGGGCCAGAGCTTCAAGTCGCGCACTTTCTTGGCTGCCCTGGCGCGACTCAAGCGGTGCGGGACGCCGTGGCGGTGGCGCCCTGGGAGGGCGCGACGGCGGTGGAGCTGGCGCGGCGCTGCGCCCAGGACGCCGACATCCTGGCGGGCGTGGCCGTGGCGGCTCCTTCAGCAGCCAGGCCGCGGAGCAGGTGAAGCGGGCACCCAGGGACCCGGGGCCTGATGGCGCGCAGTCGGGGGCTTGCACCAGGGAGAGCGGGGCGCCCAGGTAGCTGCGGGCATCTGGTCCCCTCGGCGTTCTTCATGCACCCCGCGGCTTCCAGCGCGAGCCCGCACTGCCGGCGGCACTGGCCAACGACCACCCCGATCCGGAGGGTACGAAGAGGTGGCGATGGGAGACGCCCCCCGCCAGGTGGCGCGAGGCGGTTGGGTGGCCTCCTGTGTGACCGCCCTTCCATCTGGGCCCGCAATGGCCCCCCTGCCCTCCTCTCCCGCCTCGCCCCTCCTTTCTCTTTCTCGCCCCTGGCCTGGCCCTTCCCTCGTCATCCCCCCCTGCTTCCCCTCTTCATCCCCCCTCCCCTCCCCCGTTCCCTTCGGCCCAGTAGCATGCTCGAGTCCCGAGGGACCTGGCAAGAGCGCGCGCCCCCAAGCCAGCATCCAGCGACAACCCCGTCATACCTGCCAGTGGCAGGCTACGCTGCGCTCGCTGAGTCGCTAGCAGACCGCCAATGCGTTATATACATATATATATATATACAAGACTGCATTGGCGCTGCGCGCCATGCACCTTGGTCCTTCGAGTTCCGCACGCAAGCGGAATGCGTGCGTGCGTACATGCGCGCATGCATGTATACACGCGCACGCGCATGCACGTTCCGTATATATATATATATATACATATATGTATATATTTATATGTGTGTGTGTCTAGGTGTGTACAACATACTTACATTGTTGTATGTGCAGGTACAGCGTACATATGTACAGATAACTGTATGTGTGTAAGGGTACGAACATGCATCTGCCATTCGTACTTGCGTTGCCGGTGCACGCCCAAATGTGTGTATATATATATGTGTGTATGTATGTATATATATGTATATAACTATGGGTTCGCATGCACATGCGTATCTCAAGCGGTAGTGGCCTGACTAGTTGCTCAGGGCATCTCGCACCTGAAAAGTGCGAGGGTCTCAGGCGAAAATGGCCAGATGACCACGTGACAATGCATCGCCGAGGTCAGTGTGCGAGGATGTCTCAAGCGAAAATGGCCTGAACACTTCCGCTCAGGACATACCGGAACTCAGAGTTGCGAAGATGTCTCAAGCGAAAACGGCCTGAACACCTCAGCTCAGGACAGACCCAAACTCAGTGACGCGAGGATGTCTCAAGCAAAAGTGGCGGAATACCACGGGGCAGGGCATTTCGGAACCCAGAGCTGCGAGAACGTTTCTAGCGAAAGTGGCCCGAACACCTCAGCTAAAGGAGCCCTGGAACGTAGAGTTGCGAGAAAGTCTCAAAGCGGAAGTGGTTGGACCACTTTGGGGCAGGGCTTCTCCGAGGTCAGAGTTCGGAGGAGGTCTCAGGCCACAGGGGTCTGATTTCCTCAGCTCAGGGCACCTCGGAACCGAAAGTTGCGAGGATGGTTCTGGCGAAAGTGACCGGAACACCGCAGCTTAGGACATCCCCGGACGCAGTGTTGCGAGGGTGTCGCATGCGGAAGTGGCCGGACCACCTTTGGGTAGAGCACCTCCGCGGTCAGAGTTGCGAGGATGTCTTAGGCGCAATTGGCCCGAGCACTGTGGGGCGGGACATCTCCGAAGTCAGCTTTGCGAGGAAGTCGCAAGCGAAGAGTGGTCTGAACACCTCAGCTCAGGGCATCCCGAAATCTAGAGTTGCGAGAAGTCGCAGGCGAAAGTAGGCGAACCACCATGGTGCAGGGCACCTCCAAAGTCAGACTTGCGAGACTGTCTCAGGAGAAATTGGCCTGAACACCTCAGGCCAGGGCGTCTCGGACTCCAGAGTTGCGAGGATGTCTCAGGCGAAAATGGCGGGACCACTGCGAGGCAAAGCGTTTCCGAGGTGGGAGTTGTGAGCATACCCGGGCGAAGCGGATCTCACGACTCCCTCTTCCTCCTCCTCCTCCTCCTCCTCGTTTTCTGTCTGGGTGATACTCGCCACTCGTCCTCCGCTTTCCCCTTGTGCATATTTCACTCTTCCTGTTTCTTCATTTTCTTATTCGCGCTCTCCTGGTCCACATCCTCTTCCTCTTCCTCTCCTCCTCATCCTCCTCCTGAGTTGTCCTCATCCTCCTCCTGAGTTGCCGGCCGGGCCGGGCCGAGCAAAGACGGCGGGCTGGCCGAAACGGGGACGACGACGATAACGACGACGATTACGACAACGAACGACGACGACGAAAAGGACGACGACGACGACGACGTGTGGACGGCTGGCGGCCTCCCGTGGCGCCCCTCCCGGCCACGAGGACGACGACGACGACGACGACGACGACGACGACGACGACGACGACGACGACGACGACGACGACGACGGCAGCGACGGCGATGACGACGACGAATGGGTGTTTTCGGAGCCCTCGTGGGCCGTTTTGGCGCCTTCATGGGCCGTCCTGGGGCCTTCTTGGGCCGTCTTGGGGAGCTTGCGCCCGCTGGAGCCCCCTTTGGACCCATCTTGGGCACTTCCGGGGACCTCCCGTGGCCCTTGTGGGTCTGTGCGTGGAGCCCTTGGGGGGCCTCTTGGGTCCATTATGGGCTGTCTTGGGGCTCTCTTGGGCGCTCATGGGGCCCGGCTCGGCCGTCTTGAAGCTTTCTTGGGGGCCTTTTGGGGCGTCTTGAGGCGATCTCGGGTGCTTTGAAGCCGTCTTGAAAGCTGATGAAATCCGAAAGGCGAAAATGCAAAAATTGTAAATTTTACGAAGGGAATGGGGCGATTTTTGTGTTTTGAAGGCCCCTTGGAAAGCTTCTGGGGGTGCCATGGGGGTCTTTGGCGCCGTCCAGAAGCAATTGGAGTCCCTCTTGGAGCGCTCTTGTGCTGTCTGGGGCCTCCCTTGAGCCTTTCTGATGACCCCTCTGATCGCTCTGGGTCTGCTGGCAAGGCGTTTGTGGAGACCCAGAATGCCGGGCGACCTTTTCCAAGGACGTCCAAGGGAGCCCGAGAACCCCAGATCCCGGGGATCCAGTTTTGGGGGGGGGGGGGGACGGTTTTCCCACCCCCCCCGGGCTTGTAAAAATATAGGAAGAGGAATATTCTTATATATATATATATATATATATATATAGCAATATATCGACGACGGCTCGCTGAATCGCCAGAAGATTGCCAGTGCGTTGTATTTCGATGACTGGAGCCCGCCCTGGCAGCCGCGGGGCCCCCTGGCCCAGGAGGTTGGCGGCATTTGTTCGAAAGAAGAGGGGGAGGGGGAGGGGGAAGAGGAGGAGGAGGAGCAGGACGAGGAAGAGGAGGAGGAGGAGGAGGAGGAGGAGGAGGAGCAGGACGAGGAGGAGGAGGAGGAGGAGACGAAGACGGAGGAGGAAGGCGGGAGGAGGGGCGCAGGAAGATGGGCGAAGGGGGGCGGCAGAGGATGAGTGGGAGGGGAAGCAGGTTGATAGTTCCCTTCTCCGTCCGTCCGTCTTTCTCCCCTCGTGTCGTTACCTCTCGTCTCCCTTTGTCCTCGCTCCCCATCCTGTCTCCTCCCCTTTCCCCCGTTCGTTCCCACCCTAACTACCTTTGGTCCCGTCCTTTGTCCTTGCCATCCCGTTTTCCCCCCTCCTCCATCCTCCCTTTTCTATCTCACCCCTCATATATTGATCCTTAGATCTCTCCTTTGGTGCATTACCGTTTCCAAAAATATTGCTCAGCCATTGCCACGAGGGCGCCCCAGGAGGTTCAGAACGCCCCCAATGATCCAAGGTTAGCCAGCGTGAACCCCAAGCAGTGATCTCTTGCAATCTGGCTGGTGCATTCAATGTGGTGCAGTCTAGATCGTGTAATGCATGTGGTGCAACCAAAGCACTGCAAACCATGCAACGCATGCAAAGCTATGCAACGCAACGCAATGCAACCCAATGCAACGCAATGCAACGCAACGGAATACAATGCAACGCAATGCAATGCAATGCGGTTACAATTCAATGCGACCGCAATGCAACGGGGTGGGTGCAGCGTGGCGGCGTGGCGGCGTCGGACGGGAACGAGGCCGACGAGCCCGGAAACGTTTTTTTTTCTGTCGGGGCAAATGGTGCGGCGACAGACGGAAACGTGGCCGCCGGGGCCGCGCACGGGCCCAGCCCCTTGGAAGAGAAGCAAGGACCTTGGAGTGCAAGCATTGTTTTAGGGAAGAACGTGGATCCTCGAACTTCGGTCCTTGTCGAACCTCATCCCTGCTCCTTCTGCCCGGGCCAGTGCCATCCTGCCCCGCGGGGATGAGGAGGAGTGGAAGTGAGGACGATGAGGGCGAGGAAGGTAGCGAGGAGCAGGGGGGGAGGAGGGGATGAGGACGAAGAGGAGGAAGAGGAGGAGGAGGAGGAGGAGGAGGAGGAGGAGCTGGAGGAGGAGGGAAGAGGGATGAATGACGGAAGGAGGGACGAGGCGGGAGGGGAAGGAGGGAGGCACAGTCTGGTTATCCGAAGCGGTAGTCTTTCGCGACGGCCGCCCTCACGATTTCCCTATCTCTATGAGCGGCAAGTATATGTGCCCACTTGCTTCTTCATTCGCAGCCGACGCCATGGCCCTAAATAGCGCAGTTCGTTCGATGTTCCGGCTAATCTATCAGAACGTCACGTCGAAGTTCAGCAGGTTTCAGAAACATGTTTCTTTCATGTTGGACGTCCTCATGGAGGCCTGTTATCGTGTTGGTATTGGCGGTCCAAAGACAGGGAAAAGGGCGGACGTGGATTATGAGGAGGAGGAGGAGTTGGATGTTGAGAGCGTGGTGAGTAAAGAGGAGGAGGAGGAGGGGGAGGGCGGGGGAGGATGAGGAGAAGGGAGATTCGGAGAAAGGGGGAGGAGTTGGAGGAGGACGAGGAGGAGGACGAAGAGGAGGAGGCGGAGGAGGAGGAGGAGGAGGAGGAGGGGGAGGAGGAGGAGGAGGAGCAGGAGGAGGAGGAGGAGGAGGAGGAGGAGGAGAAGAAGGAGGTCGAGGAGGAGCTTCGGAGGAGCAGCAGCAGGAAAGAGAAGAGGCGGGAGGAGGAGCAGGAATCTGATCAGCAACACAAGCAAAATGAAGAGGAGGTGCAGCAGAGGGAGGAGGATGAGGAGAAGGAGGAGGAAGAGGAGGAGGACGAGGAGGAGGAGGAGGAGCAGAAGGGGGAGGAGGGGGAGCGGAAGCGGGGCGATCGTGCGGCGGCCACTCCAGGACCGCGGCCCCCTCCGCGACCGCGTCGACGCGATCGAAGCCGAGCTCGCCACCAAGGAGGGCCCCCGGGAGGGGAAGATACAACGCCCTCCTCCCTCCTCCAAATTCCCTCTTCTCTCTTCTTCCCTTTGTTTCTCTCCTCTTCCATCCTCTTCTTTTCTCTTCCCTCTTCTTTCCCCCTTCCTCGTCCCTCTTCGGGTCTCCCTCCTCCCCCTCCTCCTCTTCCCTTCCTCGTCCTCCTCAACCTCCTCCTCCAACTTTCTCCTCGCCCCCCCTCTTCAATGTTCCATCTTTCTCCTCCTCCTCGTTCTCCCTCTTCTTCCCTCTCCCTCTCCTTCCCTCCCTTTAGCTTTTCTTCTCCCCCACCACGTATTCACTCTCTATGCTCCTTCTTTCCTTTTCTTCTCTTCTCTCTCTCTTCCCGTCCCTCCCCTTTCCTCGTCCTCCTGCTTCCTCATCATCATCAGCATCAACAGCATCAGCATCCGCATGAGCCTCATCATCATCACCATCATCAATCTCATCATCCTCAGCATCACCACCACCACCACCACCATCATCATCATCATCATCATCATCATCATCATCATCATCATCATCATCATCATCATCATAATCATCAGCATCACCCTCGTCATCCACATCATCCTCATCATCCTCAGCATCAGCATCAGCATCAGTATCATCATCAATGTAATCATTCTCAGCATCACCACCAACATCATCAGCATCACAATTCTCATTATCACCATCATCATCATCACACCCTCATCATCCCCATCATCCTCATCATCCTCAGCATCAGCATCAGTATCACCATCAATATAGTCATCCTCAGCATCACCACCATCATCGTCAGCAGCATCATCACCATCAACACCATCATCGCTAACAACATCATCATCATCATCATCATCATCATCATCATCATCATCATCATCATCATCATCATCATCGTCACTACCAGTATCATCATTATCATCATAATCGTCATCGTCGTCGTCGTCGTCGTTGTCGTCATCGTCGTCGTCGTCGCAGCCGTCGTCGCCATCAGCGTTAGCATTCCCATCATCACCACCACCATAATCAGCCTCCTAATAATCTTGGACATCGTAGAATTGATCACCTTCATCACCATCATCACCATCATGAGTGACTCTGGGCAGAGGCAGCTGATGAGTTCCCAGCGGCCTGCGATGGCCAAATCTTTGTTTCGATAGGGACCCCGCAGCGAGCCATGGGTAGCGTTTCCCCCTTGTCTGTGCGCTCCGTCTTCCTCCTTCCTCTCCTCCCCCGCCGGCGCTGGAGCCACGCCGCCGCCCCGCTGCTGCCGACGCTCGCTGTCGCCGTCAATGTGTATGATCATCACCATCTCCACCATCAGTTCCTTTTTCTTACCCTCAATGCTTGAACTACTAGCAGTCGTTTTCCTTCTTCTCTGTACCATGTTACCGTTATCCGCCTTCGGCTTATTGGTTTGAGTGTTATTGATATTCGTAGTGATACGTTTCTCTTTGTCATTGTTCGTCTCAAACTTGTCCTGATGTATGTCTCGACTCATTCGCAGTGTGCTACCATTCGCAGTGCTACTTGTTTGGTGAATGTTACCCTTCCTCCCTCTCCATCCTTCCTCTCCTCCTCCCTTCCCCGTGGTCCCCCGCAGGGGTCCCCCTGGGGCAGCGGCGGTCACGGCACTCCCAGGCGCGGCGCGGGCCCGTTGGGAGCGTTTGCTCCGCGCGTCGCGCCGCAGGCTCGTGAAGCTCTTGACCACCGAGGAGGAGGAGGAGGAGGAGGAGGAGGAGGAGGAGGAGGAGGAGGAGGAGGAGGAGGAGGAGGGGTGAGTGGAGGAGGAGGGGTGAGTGGAGGAGGAGGAGGCACCACGCTGCGGCGCGACACGCGGACCACGTCCCGGTCCCCGAGCCTCGGCGGCCCGAGCTCCGCCCAGCCTCCCGCCCCGCGGGGGCGGCGCGGCGCGCCACCAGGCCTGCAGGAGCACGGCGCGCTGCCGGGGCCGCCGCCACGGCGCGCTGCAAGCGAGCCTGCCAGGCCGTCGGCCCGGAGGGCGCGGCCGCCCCGGGCCCCGGACACCGCCCGGCCCCTCGGGCTCGTCCTCGGGGGCGGCCCCGGAAGACGCGGTCCGAGGCGTCGTCCCTCCTTCCTGTCCCTCCTTCCTTCCTTCCCTCCCCTTGCCTTCCCTCCCTTCTCGTCCTTCTCCTGCCTTGCCCCCCCTGTCTCATTCTGATTTCTTCCTCCCCCCCCCCCGATCAGGCTCCTCCCCCTGCTGCTGTCGAAGGGGGGAGGCGAGGGGTTCGCCGTGTTCTACCCCCCCCCCCGATCAGGCTCCTCCCCCTGCTGCTGTCGAAGGGGGGAGGCGAGGGGTCCGCCGTGTTGCCCGCGGCCTGGGCCGCCCAGGCGGGGCTGGCGTACGTCGATGACGTCGTCACGAAGGTCGACCAGAGGGCGGAGGCCCCACCCAAGGGAGATGGAACAAGCGCTCCCACGAGGGTGCGAAGTTACGTATTCGCGCTTCGCGGTCCTCGTTCCTTCTCCCCCTCCTCCTCGTCCTCCTGTTCTCCCTTTTGGGGGGGCGGCGCGAGAGCGCGAAGTTGTTCGCGCTGCGCGTTTCGCGGAGCGCGGAACGCGAAGTTGGGAGCCCTAGTGGAGCGGGGCGGAGGAGGAGGAGTAGGAGGAGGAGGCTCGAAGAACAGACATTTTCATACAGCAAGCACACATATTCGGAGCTCCGCGCGGACCTCTTATGTCTATCCCGTTTCTTGCCCTCTAGAGGCGAAGAGGTGGGGATAAGGAAGCAACATAATGTCTTCCTGTGCTGGACTGCGCGCGGAGCAACCTGACTATTTCATGTGCCGCATCTGCGTCGCGCGACTCGGAAGTGAGCCTTCCTGCGACCCCGCAGGGGGGCACGGCTGGCTGGCGGCGGGACCGACTGTGGAGAATGTCCTGCGGCCCGCCTGCAGCACCGTCCCTTTCCTGGAGCTGCTCTGGAGAGTGTCTTGAAGTCGCGAGGAAGAGGAGATGGTAGTGGTGGAGGAGAAGGGGGGGCGACTCGTGAAGCGGGAAGAACGCGAGAGTGGGACAAGGACCATGGTGATGATCAGCAGGGAAGAGAGGAGGAGGGGGAGGGGGAGGAGGAGGAGAGGACGGAAGATGTGGAGGCGGAGGAGGTGGGGAAAGAGGAAGTGGCGGCTGTGGGGGAATTCAGTTTTTGCACGATCAATACTTGGGACTATCAGTTTCAATCGCGAAGCTGCCCGCGTGATGTACACAGCACTTCTACACATTGATCTGAACGTGTAATATTCTGAGCGTGTAACGTTTTGCAATCACCTTCATCAGTATGGATACTAGCCAGGAGGAGGAGGAGGAGAAGGAGGAGGAGGAGGAGGAGGAGGAGGAAGAGGAGGCGGCCGAGGAGCATAATGACGCGAATCTGGAAGTAGAGGCGTAGCTGGAGCAGGTGGCGGAAGATGAGGACACGGAGCAGGACGTATCAGGGGAGGGGCGGAGTAGTTGGAGCCAGAGGAGGAGGAGGAGGAGGAGGATGAGGATGAGGAGGAGGAGGAGGAGGAGAAGCAGGAGGGAGGGGAGGGAGGAGCAGAAGGGACAAGGAGAAACCAGGAGGAGGAGGGGAGCTGGAGGAACGAGGAGGATGAGGAGCAGGTAGACGAAGAAGAGGGGGAGGGGTTGGAGGTGACGACCACATCGGCGGCGGCGGCGGCGACGAGGCGTCACGCCTCGCGCAGGCGCACCGGCGGTCGCTGTCTGCGCAGGGCCGAGCGTTGGTTGCCGAGTTGGCGGCCGCGGGCAAGCAGCAACCTGAGGCGGGCTGGGGAGCCAGGGGGGCCCAGGGCGATGGTGATGGTGATGGTGATGGTGTTGTTGGTGATGGTGGCGATGCTGAGCGGGTGGGGTCATGATGAAAATGATAGCGATGATGATGGTGTTGATGCTGATGGTGGTGGTAGTGATGATGGTACTGCTTCTGGTGATGGAGATGATGACGGTGGTGGTGGTGGTGGTGGTGTTGGTGATCACGGCGATGAGGATGAACATGGTGTTGCTGCTGACGGTGAGGATGATGGCGGCGATGATGATGATGATGATGATGATGATGATGATGATGATGATGATGATGATGATGATGATGATGATGATGATGATGATGATGATGAGGCGGAGGGGGAGGAGGAGGAGGAGGAGGAGGAGGGGGAGGGTCAGGCAGCCCTGGGCTGAGGAATGCGTTGAGGAAGCAGTAAGGGAATCAGATAAGAAACTGGCATGCGAGGAGGACCCCCCGCGCAGAAGGATTTCTAAGCCCCGCATGCCCCCGGAGGCCCACGGACGCCTCAGAAACTTCAAAGGTTGACGACCAACGCGCCCCTACGGTTGGGAACTTTGGCTTAGCGTGTCGCGCCGCAGGTTCTGGCACACCGCGCTTTGACGCGACACGCTCAACCACGTCCCGATTGCCCGATCATCCACGTGCCGAGGTGGTCGAAGACTTCTGCGGGGGCTCTACTGTAAATTTATAAGATTGCAAAGGCGTCTCCAGATATGTGGGTCGAGCGCCAGGCTATTTTGAACATCTACATATATATATATATATATGTCTACAACTTGCCATACACATATACATATGTATATACACATACTTAGACATATACACCACGTGCATATGTATATACATATGTATATACACATATACCTACACATACACAACCATAGCCATACGCAGAACACTTAAACATCAATATCCCTATACATCTACATCTACACATCCATATGCGTACGTGTATACACATACATCTACGTATATACACAGATTTACGCTTACACTTACTGGTGCAGTTGCGTACTCATACACATATACACATTTACACGTAGAAGGACATGAAGACAAGGCCCGTCATCACGTCGAGGCGTTGTTTCATCCTTCAGAGGAAGGGTGCTGCGTTTCATCTCCAACCTGTTAGATGGTCTCTGGCACCGTGCTAAAAACAAACATGCCAGAGCGATGCAGATAGTTTAGGGATGTTGCGAGGGCGCGCGACCGCAGCCCTCTGGGATCAAAACGGATCGCGGCTCCGAAGGGGGTGCCGCGCATGGTAGCGGAGCCCGTGGCCTGAGGATCCACGCGTCCTGCGTCGGAGGTGCGAGCCCAGCAGCCCAGCGGGGAGCACCGCGGGCTGCGGAGGGCAGCCTAGCAGCCCAGCGGGGAGCATTGCGGGCTGCGGAGGCCAGCAGCCCAGCGGGGAGCGCCGCGGGCTGCGGAGGGCGGCCCAGCGCCCAGTGGGGAGCACCGCGGGCCGCGGAGGGCAGTTCCCAAACCCCTTGCGGGCTGAGGTTCGACCTCGGCGGGCGCCACAGCGACGGGGCGCAAAAAGCAGAAGAAGCAGCGGAGGCGGCGGCGGTCGGAGGACGCCGCCTGGCGACGGCAGCGGCGCGGAGGCGTCTGCAGGCTGTTGGGGTCGACGCTAAGCCTTGTCGAGAAGACCGCCGGTCACGAGATCGACCTGCCAACGTTCAAGCATCGCGTGTTCGGGGACGTCGTCTTTGACAAGGAGCTAGGCCACGCTTGACCGCTCGACGTCGTGGACAAGGACGGTCACTCCTTCATGCCCCACGAGATCGAAGCCTACGCGGCCTTCCTAGCGTGGAGGGTCAGAGATTGAGGAGGAGTTGCAAGCAGCAGCGCCGAAGCAAGCAGCGGGCGACCCCGCAGCCGCGGGCGCAGCTGCAGCAGGAGCCTTGCCCCAGCCGCAGCCGACTGCCCAGCGGGCGATGGACGCACTGCGGACGGCGACGGCTCGAGCTTCCGAGCCCAGGAGCTGGGGGCGCGAGCAGAGACGACTGCCAGGCAGCAGAACGCTCGGCTTAAACAGCTGCAGCAAGCGCTGCAGCAGCTGACCGCCGCGGGGGGCACCGCGGCGGCGAGCCCGGTGCCAGCGAGGAGCGAGGGTCGTCGGGCGCGGGGCGTCATCAACGCGAAGCTGCCGACGAAGCCAGCTCAGTTCAAGGGCAGCGAGGCAGCGTGGCCTGCGTGTTCGTTCAAGCTGCTGGCGTACGTCGCGGCGCCAGGCGACGAGCTGCGCCAAGAGATGATCACGGTCGGGCAAATGGCCGAAGAGGACGTCGCCGACGAAACGTTAGACCTGAGAGCGCTCGTCGGCGCGCCTCGGCAGCTGCGCCGCGTGCTCGTTCTGCTCCTGGAAGGCAGGGCGCTCGCCGTGCAGCGGCCGGTCTCGAAGGGCGAAGGACTGCTGGTGTGGCGCAAGCTCGCGGAAGAGTTCGAGCCCGACCAGCCAGCGTCAGTTTTGGGTCGGATGAGGAAGCCGATGGGGTGGGCGTTCGGAGCAGCGGCGATCGAGACCGACATGCGCGAGTTCGACGTGGCGGTCCAGTCGCACGAGCGGTGCGGCAGCGCGGTGCCCAGCGACATCAAGGGGGCGATCCTCATCGCGGGGGCCCAGGACAGGGGCCTTTAGCAGCGGGGCAGGGATCTTCAGCAGTGGCTGATGGTCAACGCCGACCGCCTCGGAGACTGCGACGGGATCGCGAAGCGCGTGAAGACGTACCTGACGAACGAGAAGACGTTCAGGGACTCAGCAAGGGGCACCGCAGCGGGGGCCACCGCGGCGGACCACGGCGGGCCAGCACCGATGGACATCGGGTCCCTGGTGGCGACGTTGGCAGCAGGAGGGATGGCGCCAACCGAGGTGGCGATGGTCGTCAACGCAACCAAGAAGGGCAATGGCAAGGGGAAAGGGGGAGAGCACAGGAACATGATACGGGAAGCTCTACGACGGAAACAGGGGGGCCCGATCTCAGCGCCAGACGCAGGAGGACGGCAAGGGCAAAGATGGCAATGGTGGCCAGCGCGTCGAGACACGCGCGTGCAGGAAGTGCCACCCGAAGGGCCACGTGATGAGAGACTGCCCTGACAAGACTACGAGAGTGTACAGCGCGGCCAGCAAGACGACCGAGCTGAGGGACGTGTTGAACTTGGTTCAGCTGATCACGCCTGCGACGGGCTCTGCAGCGTCGAGCGCGCCGTCCGCGGCGCCGAGCAGCGTCGCCCAGGCGCGGGCCAACGCCGCGCAGTTGTCAACGGCGAGCTCAGTGGCCGCTCCGAGAGGCGGCAGCGCCAATTCAAGCGGTGGCGGGGCCGCGGGAGACACCGCGTCCGCCATCCAGTGGGCGCTGCGCCTGGCGGCCCAGGCAGCGGACCCCGCGAATCGGATCTCGATGCTGCGAGCTTCGCGGGTTGACGGCCCAGGAGGCGACGACGAGAGCTGCGAGGAGTACATCATGGTGGACTCGGGGGCCGCCAGAGCGACGCGCCCGCGCGGCCGCGCCCCTAGCGCGGCGATGCGTGAGCCCACCCGGCTCTACGGCGTCCGCGCCGCGGACGACAGGCGCGTGAAGCACCGCGGCGAGAAAAGCGTGCAGTTCGACTTGCTGGACAGCTCAGACGCGCACGCAGTGGGCATCGACTACCAGGTCGCCGACGTCTCGCACCCCATCGTGGGGGTTGCTGAGGCGTGCGACAACGGCCACTCTGTGCTGTTCTCCCCGACGGGCTCGTACATCGCGCCCGCGGCGCTCAGCCTACGATAGGGCGTCGCCGACGCGCCTCTGGTGCGACGGGGCAACCTGTCCTGGATGCGAGGGCGCGTCGCGGGAGCCACCGCGACGACGTCCGAGACGCTGCGGCACAACCTGGTCGGGGCCGAAGCGCCCGCGGCAGCGGCCCCCGCGGCGGCCGAGCAGCCCCGGCGCGAGGAGGCGCCGCTGGCAGAGGCGGAGCCGGACGAGGTGCCGGCCAGGGCGCAGCGGGCGCCGCCGCTCCCCAGCCAGGAGGAGATCGACAAGCACGAGCTCGCTCACCTACCGCCGCGAGGCTGGCGCGACAAGTGCGTGCCAGCCAAGGCGGCAGACGACCCGCGCCGACAGGGCGGCGGGCCTGGCAGCATCAACGACGAGGTGCAGATGGACTACCTGCAGCTCGGCGCCGTGGTCACAGCTGAGGAGCTGGCGGTCTCAGCCGACAGCATGGCCTGGATGGCTCCAGCGGATCAGCAGATCGACCAGGCCGTCCAGTCTACCGCGGTGCACGCGGTCTTGGGGCCTAAGGGTATGTATCCCTTCATGTCCATTGCAGCGAGTGCGGCCATCGACGCTTGGGGCGTCGCGAAGTGCATCCTGCGCGCCGGCCAGTAGCCGGCAGTCCCGGCGCCGGCCGAGCAGATCCCCGAGGGGCGGAAGCTGAGGGGGCCTGCTTGGAGCCACTCGTCGATGGGTTTCATTGAGTCCATGGGCGACCGGGTGGCCAAGCAGGCGCGCGCGATCAAGCTCCAGCTCGAGTCGGGCATGAGCGCGCGCATGCCCGTGTTCCACGGGGTGATGCCGTGGGTGATCAGGCGCGCTGGGTGGCTCCTCGCACGGTTTGCTGCCAGGCAGGCCGCTGGCAAGACGGCGTGCCGCGTCAATCGGGGCAAGCCGTGCCGCGGGGAGGTGTCCACGCTCGAAGAAGTTGTCTGGGCCCGCGTGCCAGGCGAGCGCGCGCAGAAGGCAGAGGCTCAGTGGCGCTGAGGTCTCTGGCTGGGCAAGACCGAGAAGAGCGACGAGCACCTAGTCGGCGGGTCGCGGCAGGCCAGCCGCCATCGGGCGATCGGGAGGCAGCCTGGGGAGCGGAGGTTCAACGTGGACGCGCTGAAGAGCTTCGCGGGCCTGCCTTGTAACCTCCAGTCCAAGCCTGAGCGCGCAGACACCGCGGCCGGGCAGCCCTGGGGCGGCGCCGAGCCCCGCCACGGAGGCGACGTAGCGAGGGCGTGCCAGGCGCAGGCACAACAGCGCCAGGCCGAGGAGGCGCATCCAGCGGCAGCGGCAGCAGCAGCAGCTCCAGTGGCGGAAGAGCCAGCGCGACCACCTCCAGGACCTCTGGGCGCTCCGCCAGCACCCCAACCCGAGCCGAGGCTCGGACGAGCCACCTACGTGACGAAGGGGATGGCGAAGACCTACGGGCCCACCTTGAACTGTCCGAGGTGCTGGGGGGGGGGGGGGGGGGCGAGGCGGCGCGCCCTCGCGAGTGCAGGAGGCGCATGGAAGGGGAGGCTCCTGGATGAGGCGAATCGGCGGGCAGCGGTGCGCCCGTTGCCAGGCGACGTCGTCGCAGCCCCAGAGATGGAGGTGGATGCGGCAGCGGTCGACCCCGCAGACGCGATGGCGGCAGCAGGTGGCACAGCAACAGCGGCGAGGTCGTCCCAACCACCTCCTGCGTAGGGCGGCTCAGCGGGCGACTCCGCGGGGATGGACGTAGACTCGAGGAGCCGAGGGTCGGATCACGCCTTGCCATGGTGCCTTCTACAACGAGACGTTGGACATCGCGCTGGGCGTGCACGGCGACGGCTCCGTGGCCGAGGGGATCTCGGCGAAGCTGGACGTGCTCGACGCGTTGCTGGAGGAGCACGTCGAGATCAAGAAGCTGGGTCGAGTGGGGCCGGGTGCCACCGGCGGTAGCCACGGCAGGCTGCTCAAGCGACACATCGAGTGGCGGGAGGCTCGGTCTCCTCGCATCGTGTGGAGAGCAGATGACTCGCGCGTGGACAACCAACTCGAGTTCTTGGACCTGCCAGCTGACACGACGAAGCTTCAGACGAGCCTAGGCTCGAATGCCACGGGAGGCTCCGTGCCCAAGGAGGCGGTCTTGGACGAGCGGCTCAAGAAGCTGGTTCCCGAGGCAGGCGGAGTGCTGCCTTACCTGCCCCAGGACGCGCCGCAGGTGCAGTACGCAGCGAATGTGGTCATGGCGGAAGCGTCGAAGCCTACGCCACTCGCTGAGGTCAGCCTGAAGCGTGCTGCGCGGTGCCTGTTGGGGTGTCCAGTAACGGAATGGCACTGCCCGTTGCAGGACCTCCCAGTCACGGCGGACGTCGAGGGCGACAGCGACTGGCTGGGCAGGAGCGGATGACGCGAAGTCCACGCAGTGCATGGTGATGATGTTCGGCTATCGCTGCCTGGAGGCGGCGGCGTCGGCACAGGGCTACATAGCGACGTCGAGCGGGGTGGCAGAGCTCCTGGCTCTCAACAGGGCGGGTGACTCCGCTATCCTGTTGCAGCAGATCCTCGCACTGTGCGGGGTCCACATGCAGGGAGTTGCTGGTGCGGACAGCTCGGCCGCGAGGGGAATTGCCCACCGAGCGGGGTCAGGCCGGGTGCGGCATCTCCGTATCCAGGACCTGTGGATACAGAGGCGCGTGCGGGCGGAGGGTCTGGAGGTGATCAAGCGGGGCGCGGCGGTGAAACGAGCAGACATCGGGGCGAAGTACCTGGGCGGCTCACGGATCGAAGTCTTGCTGAATATCATGGGGCGAGTGACGAGGGGGCGCGCGGCTGGCCATGTGAGCGACTCCGCGGCGGCTATGCTGAATGTAGTCTTGGCAGCTGTGCATGTGCGTGGCGCAGCGGGGGCTACCGCAGCCACCGGAGAAGGCCAGTCTGACGGCAGCGCGATTGGCATCGTCATGCTGCTGTTTCTGTTCATGCTGGCGTACGCGGTAGGAGCCACGGTAGCGGTGTGCCACCTCGCCAAGAGGCGCTCGAGGGAGCGCCAGCCCGACATTGCGGGCGGCGATGCGATGGGGGGCACCGTCGACGGGCGAGACGACAGCGCCCAGGGCGGACGTGAGCGGGAAGCACCGCCTCCAGCCACAGAGGGCGCGAGCGCTCAGGGCGGACGAGAGCGGGACGCACCGCCTCCAGCCTCAGAGGGCGCGAACAAGGGATCGGCAGCGGGAGGCTCCGTGCCGATCACGAGTGAAGGACCTCGGCAGCGACGACAGGTCGCGAGGAACTCCACTTCGTTCGGCTCAGCGGCGACCAGATAGCCGTCAGAAACGAGCTGATGCGCTACAAGGTGGACGAGCTGAAGGCGGCGCTGAGGGCGCGGGGCCTCAGCGCGACGGGCCTGAAGGCAAACCTTGCCAACGGGCTGGCGAGGGTGGCGGCGGGGCCATCCAGGGCCGCGCAGGGCCCGAGGCCGACCATCGACGAGCTGGTCGGGTCGGCGACTACGACGTCGGCTGCTAGCGCTAGCACCTGATGGTGCACAACAACCCCTAAGAGGCCGCTCCCAGCTCGAGGCTCGGCGGGGGACGCCGCGCCTCGCCCCGCAAAGACGCGACGAGGAGGCGTGCCGGAGCTATGAGGGTAGTTTAGGGATGTTGTGAGGGCGCATGACTTTAGCACTCTCGGATCAAAAAGGATGGCGGCTCCGAGGGAGGTTCCGCGCAAAACAAGCCTGGGGCGCTTCCAATGTTCCTGCGGCAAGAGCCAAGAGCTACCACTTCTCACGGAAAGAAAGGACACTCCCATCCAAGTGGTCGTGGTGGCGTCAGTACGTTTATCATCGCATTGTTCTTGATGTGTATACGGTTACTTTGTTGAAAGCTATTTGTCTGACGTGGCTTCGTATTCGGGCCAGGCAGCACCAGCAAGGCGTTATCAGGGTTGGTGTTCATGGGCAGCGAAGTCGGCCAAGGAATGTGGGGGATCTGCAGCTCATAGGTTTGTTAACGGTATAACGGTTTGGGACGCCATTGGTTTCATCTAGAAGCCTTCTGCAAATAACCATCTGCGTGGAGCCCCTGCTCATCATGTGAGAGCGAGAGCCCATTGTATGTGAGAGCCCACGATTTCCGCTAGAGTTGCATGACGACCCTTTGTAAGGTCTATCCTTGCCTTTTGTTTTGGCGGGGCACCTTGCGTCTCTGCCTTGGCCTGCGAGGGAAAAGTTCCTCGTGTCCCTGTCTGCCTGACCTGCGGGGGCCCTCGGGCTCCTGGGCGCTGCATCCGGGCAGGTCCAGGAGCTCCGCCGCCAGCTCGACGAGCGGCTAGGGGCGGTGGACGAGCGCCTCCGGGCCCAGGAGCGCAGCACCGAACAGGCGCGGCCGCCGCCGCCCGCGGCAACGTCGAACGGCGCAGATCGTCGTCGTCGTCGTCGTCGTCGTCGTTTGTCGTCGTGGTCCAGGTCGTTGTCGTCGTCGTCGTCGTGGTGGTCCGTGGTCGTCGTCGTGGTGGTCCGTGGTCGTCGTGGTGGTGTCGTCGTCGTGGTCGTCGTCATTGTCGTCGTCGCCGTCGTCCGTCTTTGTCGTCCGTCGTCGTCATCGTCGAGGTGGTCTTTTGTCGTCGTCGTCGGTCGTCGTCGTCGTCTGTCGTCGTCTGTCGTCGTCGACGTGGTTGTCCGTGGTCGTCGTCGTCGTCGCCGTCGTCGTCGTCTTCGTCGTCGTTGCCATCGTCAGTCGTTGCCTGCGTCCATCGTTGCTCGGCGTCCGCCGTTCGTCGTTCGTGGTCGGCGGCGGAGTTGTCATTGTCGTCTGTCGTCGTCAGCGGCGGCGGCGACGGCGTCATCGTCGGCTTTGCCACCGGAGGGGAAGGAGGGGAAGGACGTCGTCGTCTTTGCCGTTGTCGCCGTCCTTTTCCTTTTGCGCCCTTTCTTCTTCTTCTTCTCCCTCTCCTCGTCCTCGTCCTCCTCCTCCTTCTGCTCCTCCTGCCCCCTTCTCCCTCTGGCGACGGCCGGGTACGAGCTTACGATCAGGAAGGCAGGACCTTCAAGTTCTCGGAGGAGGTGCAAGAAGGAAGGATGAGGATGAGGATGAGAAGGAGGGAGTGAAGAATTGGAGCGAGGAAGAGGAATGATG